CAGACCTGGGCTGCCAGCGCCCTGATGGGACCCGTCTGGTCCTGGCTTCCCAGCCTTTGATCTTCTGGGGGAAGCCAGTCTCCTCTGCAGAGGAGGAGAGGGCACCTGGAGGATAGAGCTCTGAGCTGTGGGGAGGGAGGGGGAGGGGGCCAGAAAGCTCCCTGGGGACCTGGGGAGCCCTCAGCACCTCCGCAGAGGCCACCGGGCCTTCTCACCCTCTGCCAGGGTTGACTCCAGCCCTTCATCAGGGGTCATCTCCTGGCCACACCTGATCCGGAACCTGCCCGAGTGGCACATCCTGAAAGCCCAGTGCTCCAGGCTGCCCTGGGCCTCAGCCCTCCCCTGGACTGCTCTCCTGCTGACTCCTTCCCTCTTCATTTCCACACGTTGTTTCTATGTAAGAGAAGTAAGTTCTCCCTCCCTCCCTCCCCCCTCCACCCCTTCTCTCTCTCTTTCTTCTCACTCCCAGCTGGCCTGCAACCCCTGGGGCCAGGAGATCCTCCCACCTCAGCCTCCTGAGCAGGGGGACGGTAGCCGTGCACCGTGCATGTCCTACTGCCTGGCTCAGCAACTGCTTTGTGTACGACGTTGTGGTTCATAAAGAGCATCCATGTGGTTGGGTGCGAGACCACACCTGTCATCCCCGTGACGCAGGAGGCTGACTCAGGACATCACAAGTTCAAGGCCAGCCTGGGCAAGTTAGCAGGGTCCGGTCGCAAAATAAAATTGAAAAGGGCTGGGGACGTGGCTCAGGTAGAGCGCCTCTGGTTCCATCCCCAGCAGCCCCCGCCCCATAAGAGCAGGAGACGTAGGGCCCAGAGATGGGGGTGAGTTTAGCTTTACAGTGTGTGTGTGTGTGTGTGGTCACGGAACCAAGGGCCTGGAGAGTCCCCTCCATCCTGACGGGAGGTTGAGATCCCTTTCTCGCAGCTGAGGGACTGAATGAGGCCACAGGGGGCGACCCACCTTCGGGACTTTGGAGAGAGCGGCTTTCCCGTGACCAGCTCTCCTCAACACAGGCAGAGCCTGGCTGCTGCTTCTAAAACTGTCTAAAACTGCCAGGTCTCCTGCACCTACAGCCCTGGTGACGCCCACCACTCTCCCGCCTAGAAAGCTGCTGTCCGTTTTCTTGATCCGCTCTTCCTTCCTCGGAGCCCCTGGTGTCTCCTGATTCCAGGTGTCCCTCATGCCCTGAAGATCCCCTGTCACCACTCAGAGGCTTTCCCTCCCTGGGCTGTGAGCTTGAGGAGGCTACCCAGACCCCGCTGCACAGCCGCGAGCACGGCGTCCCAGAGCAGAGTTCCAGGACGGCTCCTGGGGGCCCCGGGGGAGCACGTCCTATTTCACAGCATCGCACTGCCCTGGGCAGTCAAAAGCGGGGAAGGATCAATGGATGGTTTCAGAGCTGATCCATACTTAGTTCATTATGGTCATCTGTGATCCTAACAAGTACCTCACCAGTGTAAGACATTTCATGGACTAGGAAAGACCTTCAGAGGGTTACTAGGTCTGCGGATGAGCTCATGCAGGAATAAATAATTTCAGCTGAAGCGGTCACCTGGACCTGCAGCACCTGCGTCAGGGTGACCTTGCTCTGCCCTTTGGTAAACAAAAGAAATCGGGGTCTGTTATCTTTAAGTGATGATGAGCCAGGAGAGGTGGCTTAGCAAGCTGTCACTGACCCACTGAGAGCCCTTTCTGTATATCACAGGTTCATCATCTCTTACCCAACAGGCTTGGGCCTAGAGGACAAGGGACCGGGAGAGAGAGGGCGGAGAGGGCGGGAGGGAAGGGGGAAGTCCTGGAGAACAATGTGGGCCAGATTATATTGTGTGCATGGATGAATGCGTAACAGGGAATCCCACCCGCCATTGTGCTCAACTATAATGCAGAGGAAAAAAAAAAAGATAAACAAAACAGAACAAAATGCTTGGGCCAAGAAATGTCTCAGAGTTCAGATCTAAAATGATTTTTTTTTTTTTTGCAATAGCTGCGTATTCATAATGAGATATCTTGGGGAGAAAAACGAAAACTAAACATGAAACTCATTTGTATTGTCTATATACTTGAGGGCCTCCCTTGAAAGTGATATTACACAATACTTTAAAACAATTTTGTGCATGAAGCAAAGCTGCATGGCTTGGGATTTTCCCCCTGGGGCACCAGGTTGCTGCTCAGAAGCATCAGGGTTGGGACCCTCTTGGATCCCCCATCAGGAGCCCTCAGCCTGGGGTGGTTGGGGATCTCCTTCCTCCTCTCCTCCCAGCAGCGGCTGACTTGGTGAACTGCCTGGCCTTGCCGGTTCCTGGATTTGGATTCTTTGCCCTCAGACGGGGTTTGTAGCCCTCCACTCCTCGCTGGCCTGCTGCGGGGTCCAAGTGAGCCACTACACTGTGAGCACCTGTGCACCTGGCCTGGCACACGGGAGCCAGGGCTGAGCACTCCCAGCTCTCGGGCAGCAGCCCAGGCTGCCTTCTGTCTGTCCCCGGGTGGACAAGGGTGGGCTAGAGGGGACGTCGAGGAGGACGAGGAAGCACCCGGGGAAACCCGGAGACAAGGGTGGCAACAGAAGATGAGGGGTCAGCAGAGCCTCGACAGGGGGCAGGGAGTCTTCTATTATCTTCTGGAGGGTGTCCCTGGCCCTGCAGGATTATAAAGGACAGCCCCCAACTTGCCCCTTACCAAGGGCACTGACCTGGGTGGACTTCCAGGCAGCACCAGCGAGTGTGGTCTGAAAACTTGGTTCCTGGAATATTTCACTTTACAAAATAAGAGGTTCACCATGCACTGGACGTTTTAAAACCTGGTCTCTCACCACTGAGAGTTTGAAAGCACAGTGGGCAAAACCAACCGGGCAGAACCGCTCTGTGTTCCTTCCTGCTTACAACATTCATGTTTTCATGAGTACAAGGGAGAATTTTTTCAAGTGTAGGAAAAAATATAAATATCAAGGAAAGAGAGGCAATTAAAAAAAAATCCACCTTGTAAAACATAGAGCTTTGTGAAATAGCTCAAAATGTATTAATAGAGAGGCCCCAAATAGGAGGAAAACATAAATTTCAGGAATGTACATACTATGATGCTAGATTAAAAAAAAATTACACATGGAAAATATTCAAACTGATATATGATAAACGAGCCATTGCTGTACCTGGGGTGTTAGGCCCACACCGAACAATTGCCTTTTTCTTTTGTGCATTTGCTTTCAGGTTTGTGTTTGAGATTTACACCATGTGTATAGAATGTTTTACAATGAATTGGGAGGTCTGCGTGTTGGAGAACTTGGTGTTTGTCACTTCTTGGTCTTAATAAACTCATCAACGTGGTGGACACTCGTCTTTTAGACGAACAGGAACAGGAAAAGGTTATTTTCATGTAACACATATGAGAAATAGACATATCAGAAATATCAAGCTCTTCCCACAATTCATTTCCCATTCCGACTATTCTCCCCACTGAGCAGGATAAAAAGATGTCAAATGCAGTAGTCTCTTGAGTAGATAAGGCTCGTTTGCCAGTCTCTGAACTGAGTGTGAGTCACTTGTTATGATGTGACTCCACATGGCCAAGGTCGGGAAGCCTCCCCGCCCACTTAGTATATCTCTCGCAAGGGGAGACAGCTTTATGTTACCCACGGAGCTGCTCTGAATCACCGAGAAGGAAATACCTTGCTGCCGAGCCAGGATGTGCCACCAACCAGGGGAACCCTGCTTTCAGAGGTAAATACAAAGCGATGTGCACCTCAGGGTCAAATACTAAAAACCCCGAAATCCTGCCCAGCTTTGAAGTAGGGTGCGTGAAACTGCCTCGGAAGAGCCCCAACAAACACGGAAGGATGCGCAGACGTGTTCAGTAGCACACCTTGAGTTTATTGACCTACGTAAAAAAATAATAGGTCTTAAAAAGTCAGAACAGTAAAAGAATATGCAAAAGGGCATTTCTGCATCTAGAAGGCTATACAAATATGAAAAAAGGAATAAGTTATTATTATTATTCTTGTGCTCATGGGTTTTTTTTTTCCTCCAAATTTTTCCCCCAAACTTCATTTCTAATGATACAAATGACTAAGGACCGGTTTAACAAATCAGTTTTATGTATATATTACATGCTCTGGGAATATGGATAGAAAATTGTTCCAAAAAAGTTGTTCAGAAACGTTTCTATTCACAATATGAACAAGAGACTTGTAGAAAAGGGGAGGGTCCAGGAGCACCGTGGATGGGATTGTGAAGCACAGTAAGGGTGACGATGATCGCTCTGGAAGACGGAAATCATGTGTTCAACAAACCAGCCAACCCTACAATAAAACACAGCCAATCGGTTCTTCCTGGGAAGGTAGGAGGTAGATCTAGCCTCATAGTTCAATCTACGGCAGCGGCAAGGAATTTTTTTCTTTTAATGTTAACCTTGTTTGTGACACTGGGGGATAGGGAACTGCGGATGGGATGTAGACAATGTTGAATTCCCTCAGGTTCACCATCTTTTTTTTTTCTTTTGGGGGGTGGGTACTGGGGATCGAACTCAGGAGCACTGGACCCCAGAGCCACATCCCTAGCCCTATTTTGTATTTTATTTAGAGACAGGGTCTCACCGAGTTGCTTAGCACCTCGCTTTTTGCTGAGGCTGGCTTTGAACTCGTGATCCTCCTGCCTCAGCCTCCTGAGCCACTGGATGACAGGTGTGGGCCACCACGCCCGGCTAAGGTTCACCATCTTAAGGCACTCGGTTCACCTACGATGATGTGGCTTTTTGTTTTGTTTTGTTACTGTCTGGGGCCCTTTCTGTATCATTGAGAATACTTTTCAAACTCTTGATCATGAAAACGCTCCGCACGGAGTCTACCATTTCACACGACAGGCAAGATGGGGAGTCCCCAGCCTGGACAAGAACCACTCATCAAGCCCGAGGAGGGGGAAGAGAACAGGTGCTCCGGGGACGCGGTACCTTAGAAAGCCCTCGAGGCCGACTCTGGTGCTCAGGGGCCTGCTTCATCCCCCCCCCCCCCCCCCCCGTGGCTACCAGAAGTCATCTCGCAGGATGCGACGGCAGTGTCTGTCTAGAACCCGCGCCATGGTGCTTTGAAAAAGGTCACTCTTCACAACAGCCTAAACACATTTACACGCATTCGGAACTTCATGAAAACCCAGCTTCTCTTCAAGTAATTTTCCAATACTGTCTACATGGTTCGTGTCCGTGTCCCCACGGCAGGCTCCTCTCCGAGGCTCACAAGGTCACGCTGCTGATGAGCCGCGCGCGGCCCAGGACCCCCGGTTTCCCTTCCTTCTGCATTCTCCATTGTGCTCTGAAACCCTGGCCTGCCCGCCCAGGGGACGCCCTCCCTGAATGCAGTCATGGTTTTGAGGTCTGCCTTCGACGATTTACTCCCTCCCAAAGTGCACGCCGTGGGAGGGCGTCTGGCGGAGTCCTGTCCTGCAGGGGCCCTGGGTGGGCCTGGACTCGGAGCAGGGCGCCTGGGCTGCAGAGATTTCCTTGCAGGCAGCCTGGGCCCTCCGCCCTGGGCACCCTCGGGTCTCTGGAGCCCACAGCCTTCCGGGGAGACACGCACATCTTGCAAGGCACACCAGGGTGAGACGCAGGCTCGGCAGAGAGCTCCGACGGCAGGTCAGACTAACGTCCCAGGCTTTGAGTCTTCGTGCCAGTACAGCCTCTGCTCCCCGCTGTCCAGGCCGCCCTCCAGCCCGGGCGCAGCTGCACCGTCCAGTTGGTGGGCCTCTGGGTACTGTCTGCAGAAGAACCAAACCGTTAGGACTTGTGCGCACACGGACGGCGGTACTCAAAATCGTTAGTAGGGGGCACCACTGAGCAAGGGTTTCCAGTCCTGGGAGACGAGGCCGAGGGGGGACTGCAGCCATCTCCGCCATACTGGGACCAGGGTCCGTCAGGCCCACAAAGGGGGCCTTCCATTCCTGGGACAGGTGCCATTGCTCGGCTTATGTCTACCATTGACCTAGACCCGGAGGGCATCGATCACACACTAACTTGTAGGTGTTTGTCAGGAAGAAGTGCAATCACTTCTGTGTAGTAGGGAAGACTATGGGTTACAGTTTTATCGCCCCCTGGGATTTTAACTAGTTTGGGGTAACTTTAGTAACCTTATTGCAGCGATGTCTCTTTCATTGTCCAGAATTCTCATTGAACCAGCATGAACAATCTGCTAGTTCCATGACTGATAGGTGAAATAAATCTTGGACGCATGCTCATTTAAAACTTCGAGAGTCATATTTTTTAACTTTTTTTAAAAAATGGGGGAAATGTGTCTAAAGGCAGCAGAGGCACCTTAGGACCCTCTCTACCTCCCAGGGGTTTATGGGTCAACTATGACGTGGCGGTGACCCAGGAAATCCCATCACGTGGAAAAACCGTGGGCCCCTGTGGATGATATATAGTCACATAAGCACACCCCGTTACACAGACCATTCTGATAAGCCAAACCACGTTACTGTAATGGAAGGTTAAAACAGGTTAGAGGGTTAGCAGGCTTCTACTTGAAATCTCAACATCCTTTAGTACGGGTGATAAAGTCTGGAAGAACGGCTTGGGAAACAAATGGGATGCCAGTCCCCGGTTTTCTTAGTGTTTCCACGTTAACGAAAGCCAAGCCGGGTTCCGAAACGGTACACATCAGAGCAAGCACAACAGCAGCTATGCAAGCAGCCACACACACAGTCAGGGGCTGTACTTACTACCGCTGGCTACGCTTAGCAAGAGGGAATGCAAAACTGATCTCATCTCTGGAGACACAACCAGGCTCCGGGACAGAGGCCCTGGGTTCTGCCTAGTGGTAGGTAGTTAGACAGGGCGGGGAGAGGGAGAGGAAAACAGGAAGCGAAAGAACAGAAGTTATTCCCAAACACAGGGTGCAGTGCACTAGCAGAGCCGAGGAAGTGACTGTATTACATACTCTTTGACACAAGGGCCTCCAGCATTTCTGCCTGGGAAGGCAGACCCCTATACCAAGTCCTACTGGGGAGAAAGGTTGTATTGGTAAAGCTTCATAGCTTTCCATAGGACTAAGACGTGGATACTTTGGGGGAAGAGTCTCTAAATAAGGCGCTCTTAATTTATTTAAAAAAAAAAAAATCCTGATATATTGCTAAGTATTTCATATCTTTAGCTAAAAGGAAAATCTAAAGTCTTTCATCAGGATCTTGGAACTTATTACGTCTCTTATTTTAAAAATCACATTTTCATAAAAACAACACATAGATAGATTTTTGCTATCACCCCTGCCTTGTTAGTAAGTTAATTTGATTGGATTGCATCCTGATTAAAAGTCCTACATAAACATGTAGGTCTACGTAGGGACTTCTACCTCTCTGCAGGCGGGAGGGGAAGTGGGCCAAACTTTCTGTGAATCTGAAAATACACTGTCCAGGGCTCAGGCTGTGGTAGAGCGCTTGCCTAGCATGTGTGAGGCACTGGGTCCGACTCTCAGCACCACATATAAATAAATGAAATAAAGGCCCAATGACAACTAAAGAAAAAAAAATACACTTTCCAGTTTAACCCATTAGCTCTGAATTTGAAATGCTAAGGAGATAATCTGGAATTCAGACAAATATCTTGCACAAAGGTGTTAATAGCAGCATTACTGATAATTGAAAAAGGAAGAAAGAACTAAAAAATATCCCACTGTTCAAAAATTTGAGGGCTCTTAAAGAAAGTATGCTATATTCATTAAGCAGAAAATCATATCAGTATATAAAAGAAGATTTAAAGAATTAAAAAAGAAAGTTATGTTATGATGTTAAGTTTAAAAAATGGGATATGCAGTTTCCTATGCAACATGACATGTAAAAATGCACCTACAAAATCATTTAATACCATGTTAGAACTGGTACAGAAAAATGGGAAAAATATGCCAAAGAGCTGCTATCTCTGGGTGGCAGAATGATGGATGGAGGATAATTAATTCCTTTATTATGTGCGAGCTCCCACCCTGAGCTCATGTATGCATACACACATACAATAGGACCTTTAAATAGCTCCGAGCTTCCTGTACATTATGAACTCTGAAAACAGGGACTCCTCCACACAGCTGCCTGAGACACACAGGCAGACTTGGGAAAAACAGGCTTTTCTCTAAAAATGCTGAGCACTTCCTGAGTCCAGTAAAAGAGACATGAAAGACCGTAGGGCTGTCTTACACACTGGGTCAAGAGAGAAGATCGTAAAATTAGAGAAACAAGGAGACTATCTGCAACTGTACCGCAACGGTGCTTAGACCTGCCCTGGGAAGGTCCAGCCCCAACATGGGCCAGGTATTGGGGTTCTTACTCCTAACTCCTGATCAAGTAATATTCAACAAGCCTGAGCCACCAGACGTCCTCTGAAGTATATTTTCATTAACAGTCTATTTTGAGCACACCCTTTGTTTAAGCTGAGACAATTGGCTCAACATCTCAAGCCAAGAAAAACTCCCACTGAATGTGGAGAACACAAACAAGGTTTGGGGGTTGAATATCTGCCGTTCGCTTGCCACCCTACAGGCCTTAATAAGAAGTAACCCCTCCAATTCCCCAGGACAGAGCTCTGCAGATGTTAAGGGTCCGTGCAAGTCTCTTCTGTCTGAAGCAATCTTAAAAAAGACAAACCAAAGTTTCTGAAAAACCCCCAATGGGCTCAGCACTTCTTGGCACCTGGGTGTGGATTATAATTTGTGACAAAGAAGGAGAAATGACCTCTCCCAATGGAATTCGTCCTTTGCACATAGTAAGAATGGAAAACCATGTGATTGAGAGTGTGCAATTCTTTAAACCCATGGTTCTTGGGTGCTTCCTCTAACATTTGGAAAGAACTGATTTTGAAGACCAATAGGACAGGGTCCGTGGTTTCTTGGAACATCGGGTCAGACTTACACAGAGTGAATGGCTGACATCCAGCTGACTATCTGTGGGGACCTTGGGATAAGCAGCTTTCTGGAGTGGACTTTTAATTCTGGCAGAGTTACAGAAGAGACAAGTGGACGTTGTCACTAATACAGTTTCAAGTACTGCCTTAACAAAACAAAACCAAAAACCACCACCACCACCACCGCAAAACCCCCTCAGCCTCAGCATTTTGCATACATACAGACTTTAAGACCAGGGCAGCGTCTGAATCAACCATATTGGTGCTCAGGATACTTTTCCTGGAAGGGGCCAGATATTTTGGCTTTGCAGGTCATATGCTGTCTTTCCGGGCTTTTTAGCTCCGTCCTTGCAATGCAAGAATGTCCATAGCTAACATAGAAATGAGTGAGCATGGATACTTTCCAATAAAATGCTATCTTACCAAAACTGGGTGTGGCCTGCAGGCTGCAGTTTACCAACCCCTGAGTTACGTGGTTTAACATTCACGAAGTGGGGTAGGATCCCTGGCTACTTTTGAACAGGACCAGGCTTTTAAGCACAGCTTCTCCTTACCTGCTGGGCGAGGGCAAAGGATGGTACACGGTGCCATAGCAGCTGGTGTACGGATGGGCGGGAGTCTCATATTCCGATAGCCCTATGGTCAACTGGGTCCTCCAGTTCCCAGAAGTGTTTGTAGAAGACACTGGAAATCAGAATGGAAAGAGATAAAATTAGTTGAAACATTCAAAGTGAAAACTGTTTGGGTTACTTAGAAGCATGTGATAACCAGCTGTGTGGAGAGTAGACATTGTCCATGCTGGGAACTGACCCCAGGGCTTTGCCTGGGCTGAGCACGTGCTCTACCACTGAGCCACAGTTGCAGCCAAGCCAGACCTTGGAATCCAGAGGGCTCCTTTTCTAATTTGGGGATGAAATGACCAAGTGACACTGGGCAAATAGCCTACCCTCTTTAAGCCTTAGTTTTCTCATCTGTGGAGTGAGGTTAATAACATATATTCGGTATACCTATAATACCATGATTAAATAAGAAAATTATGAACATCTTTAGTGCACTGTCTGATGGCTACAGAGTAAGCACTCAAGAAATGATAACTATTTGGGGGCACAGTGATGCCTGCCTATAATCCCAGCAATTCAGGAGGATCACAAGTTCAAGGTCAGCTTAGGCAACTTAGCAAGACCCTATCTCAAAATAAAAAAATAAAAAGGGCTAGGAATGGAGCTCAGGGGTACAGTACTTGTTTATCCCAGGTGCCATCCCTAGTACTGCACACATACACCCGTACTCACACAAACACATACACACTCACACACATGCACAAATGATAGCTGTCAATAGTATTGTTACTGGGAATAAGGTTAATTGAAAAACATTTAAAGCAAGATGTACTTCAAACACTGAGATGGAACAAAGTGTTGGGAATCTACAAGGACATCGCAAGTCCACAGGAAAGAGACTCTGCTGCTGAACTGAAGCCAACCAAAAGACAGTGCACCTTGCTCCACACACGAATTGACAGCAAGCTTCAGCAATCCTTGAAAACAAAGAAGACACAGAATCCCCAAATGAATGACCCAGCCCCCATGAAGGAATGGTGGTGGGGCTGGGGTGGTGTGGGTGGCCCTCGGGTCCCACTCAGGCACATCCACCTCTACAGCAAAAACTGAGAGAATTAACAAGAGGGCTTTGGACACCTCACTTCTGAGGGGTCTCAATCTCGATCACTACAGGACACTTTGGCAAGAGAAGGCTGTTCCCTGTAAATGCCCACACATAAAAGTGGAAGAGAAATTCATCCCAACAGACACATAAAACCCAACACAGGAATGAATACAAGAAATATGGGGGGGGGAAGTTAATACAATACTTCATAAAGCAACTGACTCCAGAGATACTGAAGTGGGTGAAAAATCAGATAAAGAATTCAAAAGAATGATTATAGAAATGATCAATGATTTCAAGAGAACACAGAAAAACAATTGAATGAATTAAAGAAATCAGTACAAGAGCAAGAATTTCAATAAGGAGATAGAGATGTTGAAAAAGAACCAAACAAATCTTGCAAATGAAAGATACAATGAATCAAATAGAATGTTCAGCTGAAAGTCTGTTGAATGGAGTAGACCATGCTTAAGATAGAATTGGAAATTAGAAGACAAAGTGGCTGAAAGTATTAAAGAAAAGAGTTGGAAGATAAAGTGGTCAGATAGTACTAAAGAAAAGAAATTAAGTCACCAGAATATATAAGACCAAAATACACAAGAACTCTGACACAACATTAAAAAACCCAGTTTAAGAATCATTGGAATTGAACAGGGTTCTGAGGCTAATGGTATAAAGTCTTCAAGAAAATAATGACAGAAAAAATTTCCCAACCTTGAGAAGGAGATGGGCACTCATAGGCAGGATGCATTCAGAACCCCAAGTACCCAAGATCAAAAAGGAATCTCTTGATGACACACCATAATTAAAATGCCTAACCTACAGAACAAGGATAGGATTTTAAAAGTCTCAAGAGTAAAATTCCAGGTTACATTTTGAGGTAAGTAAATCTCAATTTATTTCCGATTTCAGCACAAACTCTAAAATAAATGTGAATCAAGATTGCTTTATTGCAGCATAGCTATCCTTCAGAATCAAAGGAGAAATAAAACCCTTCCAAGATAAGCAAGATAAGCAGAAATTAAAGGAAGGCGTAACAGCGAAGCCAGCCCTACAGAAAATACACACAGAAATACTTCACACCAAATAAATAAAAAACTAACCCCAGATCTCACAAGGGAACAAATCTCATTTGAAGAATAGCTAAACAGACGAGAAATGGGACCAAATAAATAACAGAAATAAATAAAAATGGCAAGAAGTAATATACATCCCTCTGTGATAACACTGAATGTAAATGATCTCAACTCTCTGGCAGACTGGATCACAAAATAGGATCCAACTAGTGTTGTTCGCAAGAGACTCCCCTCACAGACACAGCCAGCCACAGGCTGAACGTGAAAGGCTAGAAACGGATATACTACCCAAAGGGAGCCTGAAAACAAGCAGAACTGGCTATTCTCATATCTGAATGTCACAGCATACTGGTAAAGGGACATCCAAACAAGAAGATATAACAATAGTTAATATTTATGCCCCAAATGTCGGTGTGCCTGATTACATAAAACAGACACGACTTGAATTAAGACTCAGATAAACCCCAGAACGACAATATTGGGTGATTTCACATCTGTCACCAATCGATAGGTTATCTAGAGATAAACTGAGTAAAGACTCTTCAGGCCTAAAAATAAATGTTATAAATCAAGTGGACTTAATAGATATCTACAGAATATTCCATCCCCAAACAGACCATACAGAAGCTATATAAACACAGAGACTGAACAATACATTTTTGAAGGATGAATGGGTGATGGAAGAAATTGGGAGAAATTTTTAAAAAATACTTAAAATCAAATGAGAATAGCGATGCAATATATCAGAACCCCTGGGACTCTCTGAAGGCAGTTCTAAGAGAAAAGTTTACGGCAGTAAGTGCCTACAGAAGGAAATCAGAACAATTCCAAATAAACAACTCAATAGGCATCTCAATACCCCTGAAAAACAAGAAAAAATTCCCAAACCAGTAGAAAGAAGAAGATAATAAGGATCAGAGCCAAAATCAATGAAATTGAGAAAAAAAAAATACAAAGGATCAATGAAACCAAGAGTTGGCTCTTTGAAAAGATGAACAACCAACCAAAGAAAAAGAGAGAAGGCCTAAATTAATAAAATTAGAGATGAAAAGGAGAAGTCATCAGAGATATCACAGAAAAGCATCATAGGAACTGTTTTGAAAACTTATACAATAAATTGGAAAACCTTGAATTAAGGGATGCATTTCTAGACACATATGCTCTGCCTAAATTGAATCAAGAGAACATAAAAAAAAAAAAACCTAAATAGAGCAATAACTAGCAATGAGATAAAATCAATAACAAAAGGCCTATCAAGAATGGAAAGTCCACAGCCAGGTAGATTCTCAGCTGGATTCTACCTGACCTTTAAAGAAGAACTAATGTTCTTCAAATCACTGCATGAAATAGGAAAGAATAGAAAACGTATGAATTCATACCAAAACCAGATAAGGGACATATCGAGGAAAACTACAGACCAATATCCCTGATGAACTTAGATGCAAACATCTTTAATAAAATAATAGCAAGTCATATTCAACAACATATTAAGAAGATTGTACATCATGACCAAGTTGATTTTATCTCAGGGATGTAAGGTTACGAGTATGGTAGCATTCACAAATTGATAAATGTAACTCACCACATAAGTAGGATTAAGGACAAAAACCACAGTTATCTCAATAGATGTGAGAAAGCCCTTGACAAAATTTAGCATCCATTCATTCATGATAAAAACATGGAAGAAACTAGGGATAGAAGGAACCGACCTCAACATCATAAAGACTATACACAACAAACCCAAAGCCAACATCATAGTGGAGAAAAACTGAAATCGTTTTCTTTAAAATTGGGAACAAGACAAAGATGTCCACTCTCACCACTCCTACTTGATATAGCACTAGAAATTGTAGCCAAAGCAATTAAACAAGAGAAGGAAATAAAAGGGATAAAAATAGGAAAATAAAAAGAGTTAAATTAATATTGGGTGATTTCAATACATGTCTGTTACCAATAGGTAGGTTTTCTCAGGCAAATGGGCAAATGAGCTAAACAGATGCTTCCCAAAAGAAGAAATACTGACGGCCAACAAATATACTAGAAAAAGTTCCACATCATTATAATTAGAGACATGCAAATCAAAACACTGAGATCTCATCTCACACTAGTCAGAATGGCGGTCCAAGAGTACAGATCATAATAAGTGCTGGAGAGGATGTGGAGAAAAAGGAACACATTTATACTGATGGTGGAATTATAAGTTAGTACAACCACTACGGATGTCAGTATGGAGGCTCCTCAAAAGGCTAGTCGTGGAACCACCAGATGACCCAGCTGTAGCACTCTTCAGTATTTACCCTGAAGAATTAAGGGCATCTCACCACAGTGACACATACACACACACCCACGTTCACAGCTGCACCATTCATAAGAGCCAAACCACGGAACCAGCCTAGGTGTCTATCAGAAGATGAACGGATAAAGAAAATGTGGTACAGATACACAACAGAGTTTTATTCAGCCATAAAGAAAAATGGAATCATGTTGTTTTCAGGAAAATGGATCTTGAGAACATCATGTTAAGTGAAATAAGCCGAACTCGAAAAGTAAGGCTCAGATGTTTTCTCTCATGTGTGGACACTGTACCAAGGTAAGGAAAAGAAAGGGGAGAGTCCATGAAAACCAAAGGTGGGTTAGTGGAGGGATGAGGGGAGGGCAGGGGAAGTGCTGGGGACTGATACTGAGTAAATCACATGGATACGCCGTGTGCATGTGAGACCACAAGTCCCACCATCTCATACAACTACAATGAACCCATAAAAAACATGGAAAAAATTTTCAATTAAAATATTTTTAAAATCAACCCCAAGGTAAGGGATAAAAGCCTCTCAGATATGGAGAGAATCTCCATTTGCAGCCTGCGCTGGTTCCACACAGGCTTCTGGTGTAAGTAAGAGGACGAGTTTGAATCTGTTGGAGGCCTTTGGGGAACAGCCTTCTGCCAGTTGACCTGTTGGGACCTGACTGTTCCTTAGTCTGAGGTGACGTTGCCTGCCAGCAACATCAAGGTACTTTCTTTGTCTTAAAAAGTGGGGGCCTGGCACTCAGAAGGAGGAGGGTTAGCTTCACAGAGGGCGGAGCTGGAATATGACAGGGTGCAGTTTGGAAGCCTCGTCACTGGGCGATGGGGCCCCATGAAACCAGTCCTGCTCCCTGCCTGGGACATACGCCCTGGCCACAGAGCCTATGGTCGCCCAAGACTCAGAAGTCCAGCAAGGCCTGCCTCTGCTTTTGGTTCCTGCAACCAACCTGCTCTCTTCTTTCACACCCATGAAGCACCTGAGATAGACACCTGAGATAGACACCTGAGATAGACACCTTGGGGCCACATGGTTTTGACCGACAGATGGAAGACTCTCGCTTTGAGCTTGCAAGAAGGATACCAGACTCTCAGTGGAGGCTCTGTGGTTGCTGCTTACGCTGTCAGGCTTGGGAGAATCCCTAGTCTGCCACGCACCAGCTTTGAGTCTTGGGCAGGTCATTGAAACTCTCTAGATGGAGCTGCCTACCCTGCAAAATCAGACCAATACCAAGCCTACCTCTGCTGCACTCATGGAGGCGAGAGTATGTGAAGTGCCCAGTGCCCGTCCCGAGTATCTCTCCTTCCTTGCTGGCTTTGGCCTAGGTTTGGACTGTGAACCCATGTAACACCCTGAAGGGTTTTCTCAGGCCGAGCCATAAATACCAAGAAACAGGAGAGGAGCCCTTTGATGTGTTAGGTGCAGTCAGGATGGGACAGCCTTAGCGGAAGTCCAAAGTCCTGCACAGACCGGAGAGCACTGGAGCCGGAGCTCCATCTCCATGGTAACACCTCTTGTCAACACACCTGGGAAACTTTTAAAGGTGCAGCTCAGACTGACTAGTCATCGGCTTGGGAATCCCCACACCGTGACGCACGCAGGTGTCAATTTAGGGGAAAAGGCAGAATCACGACCTCAGTTTTTCGTGTAGTTTGAGAATGCATTCATCCCTTAAGTTTAAAACATGGTTGATTTTCCCACATTCTGCTGAGTAGGCTCTGAGCACCCCAAGGCCAGGAGCCCTGAGCACACGGCAGGTGCTGGCTCATTGCTGAGGGAGCCCTGCACCCAGGAGGTCGGTGCAGTGGGTCCTTCAGCAACATTAGCATAAGAAGCAGCTAGGTCCCACAGCTCTAGGGTCTGAAGGGGACCTCTCCTCTAGCAGCTAGCCCTGAGATAGTCCTGACCCAGTCTTAGTGGTGAATGGGGATGGATCTGAACTCCTAGTGTTTTCTGCTCGCCTGAAAGTTTCCCTCTGTTCCTTTTAAAATGTCCAACGTCAATGACCCAACACATTAGAGATATGGGTATCATTGAAAGTCCCAGGAGGGACGCATGTGAAAGACGTTCAGTAGGTGTCTGCTGAGCCTGCAGGTCACTTCATCAGGCTCAGGAGGGGACATTCCAAGAGGGCATTTCTAACAGTGGTTGCTCAAAGTGGTCACCACGGTGTGACCCCCGGGGTGGTGGGTTTCCTGGAAAGGAGTGGGTCAGGGTGGTGGGAGCCTGGCGGCCTTGACCCAGGTGGCCCGAGCTTCCTTGGGCTCTTACCTGAGGTGTAGGATGACGCTCGGCTGCTAGGGGAGCAAGGAACCTGCAGCCCGGCGAAGCCCAGGCATCGCTGCGAGCCCCTGTCCGAGTCGAAGCTGGTCTGCGGGCTGTGCCCCGGATCCTTCTGCCCCGAGGCCCGCTGGTACCAGCCGCGCAGGTGCTCGGCGACCAGAGCCTTGTGGATGTTCTTGGTGATGTGCTCGGACTTCACGGCCGCCTTCCTGGGCAGCCGCAGGGTGGCATAGGGGTTGTGGGGCGCGCGGTCCACCTCGTCCTCATGGAAGGACCTGCAGTAGTCCCTCTGGCGGTCATAGCCGTAGTGCGCCGAGGAGCGGTAGGAAGGGTTGACGCTGTAGTGTCCCTCCGTGTCGTTCTCGTAGACACAGCCCGCGTAGTACAGGTCGCACTCAGCGTAGGGTGCGGACCCGGCCACGTAGTAGCCAGGGGGCAGCTCCTGGCTCCTGCCGTAGAGGCCGGTCCGCGAGCTGTCCTTTTGGGCCAGGTTGGGCATGCTTCCCGAACTCGAGGTGCACACGTGCTGCTTCTTGGACCTTCTCCGGCCCCGCGAGCGCGTGTCCAGGGTCTGGGTGGTGTAGTAGGGGCCCGCGGTGGGCGTCACGCAGTAGTACTCGGTGCTGGACTGGCTGGTGTGCGAGGACCCGTCGTCCAGCACCTCGGTGCTGCTGCTTCTTTGGGATTTGGAGAGGGAGAGAAATGGCTTGTCGTCGTCCATCTCGGACAGCAGGTGGGATCGGGACTCGAGGCTCCCGCTTCGAAGGCGGCAGTGCTGAGAGGAAGATTCCGGTCTGGAAGAGAAGCAGGCAAATGGCTAAGAGAAAAGGGGCTTTGAGTGCCTGGGTGACCGCACAACCGAGTCTCCCTGGGTGCCTAGTCCACTGGGCCACACCCCGACGCGGGTCCACAGTCAAAGGGGAAAGAGCTGCGGCGGGTCACTTGTGCCAGCCTGTCGCTCCTCAAGCAGAGGGAACAAGCTTCCAAACCAGAAAATACCCTTGAGGTGTCTGGGGAGGGCTCCCTTCCAACAGGACATCGGGGGTGGCTTAGACCAGAAGGGGACACACATGCCGGGGAGCAGGGTCCCCAAAGGCTGCCTCCAAGCCGCATGAGCTTGGGTATGACACTTGGCCCCCCATCCTGCTTCTGTCTGTAAAATGAGATGAAAGCCGTATCTAACACCACTGCACAATAGGCTTGTCGTGGAGTAGCTGATAAAATAGCCCACGTAAGACACTCCGTATGCACCCAGCAAACACTTCAACACGTGGCCCCTATTGTGGTCCGTCTCCTCACCCTTGAAAAATGAATGGCATTGTCTGCTGGGGAAATGAAAGCGCCCAACATCCAAGATGTGCATGTTCTCGGCTGACACACTAGAAACTGAGCACATCAGCAGAAAACGTGGAGGAACGGACGAGGCCCGACTGCAGAAAGTCCTCTGAGTGATCAGAAAACCCGAAACACAGCAAGGCGGCCGTCACCAGCAGAGCCAGGGAGCAAGGCACTTACTCCAAGTGGGTGCTGCTGTAGGCATTGCGGGTGAGCACAGGCGTGGTGGGCATGCTGCGCCCTCCCGGGGGCCGCCTCTCCAGGGTCTTGTAGGGGCTGCTCTGTGTGGACAGCATTTCTCTGTGATGATTGAAAGAGAATTGAAGAAACAATGAGCCTCGCAACCCCCACCGCAAACTTGTCCTGAACTCAAAGGACACTTCCCGGAAGCTGGCGGGAAGGGAGCGGGCAGGGAGGGGGGAGGGGTGTGTACAGCCAGCACCCTGGGGGGCCCCGGTGAGCTGTGGGGGGAGCACATACAGCCTGACTCTCTGGGTCAGGAATACCGAGATGGCAAGTTCCAGCCAGCCTGGGCAACTTCGCAAGACCCTGTCCCAAAGTAAAAGGACAGGCGTGTGGCTCAGTGGCCGAGCATCCCTGGGACCACCTGCCTCGGTAAACAGACCAAGAGCAACCAGAGAACGGGCCAGGTCAGCTCCCAGTGAACGCTTCTGACTCTGCAGCCCAGATGGTCCCAAATCAACTCCTTACTCTACCCCTGTACAAAAAGAATCACGTGTGTGTTCGAATAAAACTTTATTCAACCAACATTTTATTCACAGACACGGAAGTATCAATTTCATGTAATTTCCTCATCTCACCAACATGAATGCATGATTCTCTTCCGCCAGTTACTTAGAAATATAAAACCCAGTCTTAGCTCCTGGGCTGCAGGACGGATGGCCCATAGGCTGTTGTACAGTGGCCCTTGGAGTAGACGGCCACGACCTTGAATTACTATGTCCACTTTCAAGCACAGCAAGGACACACTTTGAGCTTAATTTCCTGAAATTAAAAATAACTTTCAAGCTGGGCACAGTGGCACATGCCTGTAATCCCAGCAACCCAGGAGGCTGAGGCAGGAGGATGGCAAGTTCAAGGTCAGCCCGGGCGATTTAGAGAGACCCTGTCTCAAAATCAAATAAAAGGGGCTGGGGACATAGCCCAGTGGCAGAGCACTGGCCTGGTATGTCCAAGACCCTGTGTTCAAGTCCTAAGGTGGCAAACCAACAAACAAGCTCTCAAAGGGGTGGAGGGTAGCTCAGGGTTCGAGTGAGGCTCTGGGTTTGATCTCCTCCAGCACCTGGGGTCCCCTCGCCCCAAAACACTTTCTGAGTAAAATCTTTCTTATTATGAAGGTAAGTTAAATTTATTATAGGAAAGTTCAAGCGTACAAATAAAAAAGGAGAATTTTAGATGCCCATAATCGGGCACCCGAGCACAGCAGGAAATACAGCAGTAAATGATTTCATGTTTTTTCGTAACAATATACACAAAGAAGCATCTGTAGTTTTCAACAACAAAATGACATCTTACTATGTTTCCTTCCTCTCTTTCTTCTTTCCTTCCTCCCTCTCTCTCTCTCTCTCTTTTCCTTCCTACTGCCATGGGAGATTGAACCTAGGGGTGGCCCTTACCACTGAGCGACGCTCCCAGCCCTGGTCTTTTTTTCTTTTAATTTTTTTTTTATAGTTGTAAATGTACAGAACGCCTTTATTTTATGAATTTTCTTATGTGGTGCTGAGGATCGAACCCAGGGCCTCACCCATGCTAGGCAAGTCCTCTGCCACTGAGCCACCACCCAGGCCCCCAGCCCTGGTCTTAATTAGAAAAAAAAAAAAAAAAAAAGTAGCATTGATCCCGGTAACCAAACTCTGGGAACCACACCGACGGGTCACTTTTTAAAGTCTTGGCCTCATTGCCCTGTAACATTCACCGGAGACCTTTGGGAACAAAGCTATACTCTGCCTCACAGACTGCACACTGCGTTTAAGTGCCAGGTTTCCTTGTAGGGCCACAAGCTGGTCCGGTCACTGGGCTTGGCAGAGCAGTACTGAATGACCACTCCCTCCGAGCATGGGGCGTGGAACTGGACACAGTCCCTGCTCTACCTTGGGTGTGGAAGGCTTGCGCTGGTCCCAGTGGGTACCCCTGGGAAGCCTGGAGATGACAGCAGGTGGGGCCTGGGCGCGTGCCCTTGGGGGGATACTGGACTCTCCCCACCCCTCTTTCTCTTGGCTTTCTGGTCCCTGTGAGGGCAGCGGACTTGTTCTGCCACATGCTGCCACCTGATGTTCTGTCACCCCAGGTGCAGAGCCGATAGACCATGGACTAAAACTCTGAAACTGTGGGCCTAAACAAACCTTTCCTCTTGATAAGTTGCTGAGTTGAGGCATTTTGCCACAGTGACACCAAAGTAAACAATACCATACCCAGAACCAGGTGATGATCAATGTCCCCATAACTTAATATAAATCAAACAGACTTCAAGCAAAGAGTCAAATGCTTTTTAAAAGATCTCTTAAAAACACTTCCACTTGTCACCAACAGTGAATCTCTGGGTTAGTTTCGGTGCCTGGGTTGTACGAGAGAACACCTTTCGGAAGGATCAATAAAAACCAGCAAAGGGGGCCCCATTCTGGAGCCCAGGGGCAAGGGCCTCTCACCTGGACTGCCTGGTGTCCACAAACTGCTCGCCGCAGGACGACTTTCTGAAGTGGACTCGCTCAATGCCCAGAGACTTGGGGGGAAGGATTCTTGGAGAGTGAGGTACTGAACTTGGTCGCTGCCCAGAAAGCGTGAAGGCATCATTGGCTAAAATAAATGCATGAAAGAATCAATAACCCGGAGGGAGACAGACCAGTGAATTAGCACCCTGACCGAACTGCGAGAGAAGAACTGAAGGCCTGATTCATTAGGCGCTCTGCCAAGATGGGGTTTCTAGGCATGCAGGACCTTTCAGAAGGTGATTTTTTTTTTTTTTTCCAAAATCTTATACACTAGACAAAAGGAATTACCGAGAACTCCCCTTAGGCCTGCAGCAACTTTTGCATAGTATTGCCATATTATATCTTCTAAAAAGTCTGCTGAAGACAATCCCCATGTGCCAAAGGCCAGGGAGGATCTGGCTGCTCTTTGAGTTCGGCTTCAAAGCCCTTAGGCCTCTGTGGCCGGAGCTCACGCTGCCACACGGTATCGTCACCTTCTCAGGGCTGCTGAGAACTGTTCAACAGGAGACCCTGTCTCCAAATAAAACATAAAAAGGGCTGGAGACGTGGCTCAGGGGCTAAGCACCCCTGGGTTCAATCCCTGGTTCCAGGAAAAAAAGAAAATAAATGTCCGCAGTGGGGAAACCTGGTGAGGAACTCTGCATTACAGTTCTCTGCCAGTCTACACTACAATGAGAAGTTAAAAAACATTCCCCAGGGGCCTCAAATCCTTATCGAGCACCAACGCCTTCCTGCGGTGGTTTCCTGTTTCCCTGAGGGCCTGTGATCTGGAGGGCTCTGTGTTAAATGCGGAATTAACCCAAGTAGATTAGTAACCCTGTGCCTCTTTCCCAACCGTTTTGCTTAAATGAGTTAGTGTATTATAATTTTCCCAAAATAAAAACCAAGCAGGCTTTCTTAAATTTAAAAAAAAAAAAAAATCACCTTGAGATTTTAGAATAGGCCATATTTTAAAAACAACAGCCACTTACGATCGTCATAGGTGGTGGTGTCCGACAAGGAGCTGCTCTCCGAGGGGATGATGTCATCTGTGAACAGAGACACCTGTCTTTAGGATACTGGGCATCACAGCAGGGGGAAGTTCCGCAAAGCAGTTTCCAACGGCGTGCGTTTGATTTTCATCGGGATCAATAGGACTAGTTAAAGCGCATGAGGAACATGGAACTGCTGTATGACTTGGTTCCTGCACCACTGGAGGCAGAAACATCTGCGTATCTTACAGACGTCACAATGGACTGGCGCGGTCTCTCAGTACCTGTGGGAGATTGGTCCCAGGACCCCAAGGGCACCCAAACCCAGGGATGCTCAAGTTCCCACGATGAAGTGGCACAGGGTTTGCACTTTCTACTACCCGTCACGCTGCCCGGGAGCTTGCTCTGGGAGCAGTTACGATGCTGGTAGGGAGTAGTGGCGGGAGGAGAGCCTGCCCGCGCTCAGTGCAGAGGCCAGGGTCCTCCCCAAGGGCTTTCCCCCTGAGGCTGGGGGGAGCCGCAGGCCGTATTCTAAATTGGGAACAGAGGTCCAGGGGGTTGGGGTTTTCCTCCTTTTCAGTGTTTCCTCTCCATCCCTACGTTAGTGCGTGACAACTAGAAAGAAGAGCTGAGCCTTCTAGTCATAGGTGTGCGCGTCAGTGAGCCGCGTGGACCTCACTTCAGATGGCTCTGCCAGGGGAACTCAGTCTGGGGCCCTCGATAGGGAAAGGGGCCTTTTGCTCACGTGGTGTGGGGAGCTCTCCGAGTCGAGCAGGGGTCCCCCGGGCGGTGCTGCTGGCTCCGGGCTGGACATGCTGCTTGGGCACCCTGCACGCAGCAGGCTCTAGCCTCCGGCCCGGGTGTCAAAGGAACCCCAGCCTCAATTTTGACAACTGAGAGTGTCTGCAAGCACTGTTAACTACTGAGTCAGACAGACCTGGTTAAATCCTGGTTTCTGCCACTCTCTGCAGGGAGACCTGAGCCAGATCACCTAGTCCCTCTAGGCATCATCCGGCTCAAGCCTAAACTGGGGACAAGGACACTGTCCATGACACAGGGCCCAAGTGGCACCCTGAGTGACATGCTGACATAAAGAGCTAGGCCCAGCTCCTGGCACGTAGCAAATCCTCAAAAAGTATCAACAATGCCTCGTTTTTGTCACCGACTCTGCGAGCTGGTTAGAAATGACAACCCAAATGCTCTGAGCATCACTGGTAATACCAGCATCTGATATTTTTGCATTTTTTTTAGTACTGGGGATTTAACCCAGGGACACTTTACCACTAAGCCACATCCCCAGCCATTTTTACTTCGAGACAGGGTCTCGCTAAGTTGCTGAGGCTAATCTCCAACTTGCAATCCTCCTGCCTCGGCCTCCCGAGTCACTGGGATGACAGGCGTGTGCCACCGTGTCTGGCTCAGATGTTAAAGACTGTGTTGGGTGAAGAGAGACAGCTCACACGTGTTGATATCCTCCTGCGAATCCCACTGCCGTCAGTCTCGAATGCTTTGGCAAAAATGGTTCAAGGCAGATGCTACACCTCAACACAGCTTCAAAGCCATCATGGAGGGATCGCTCCATCCAGCCACGAAAGCCAATTTCTAAGGCAGAGCCTCTTCATTGGCCAGCCGTGGAACTTGAGGGTGCGGTGCCAGGACCGTCAGCTGGTGGGCACATTTAACAAAAAATTCTATCTAATGGAAGGTTCACCACTGGCACCATCTGCCCTCAACACCAGTCCTGACGGAGGAGAGCACTTGCACCCTGTGGCTTGAGGATGAATGGGCGGTGACAAATGGCACGGCAGCTAAGTGCCTCTCAAGCACCCATGTCTGTGGGCCAGCCTGTGCCAACTGCCACGGCCGACCCGCCTGCACATTCCCAGCCAAGCCGCCCGGAATTCCCAGCTGTAGTCGGCCGACACTTGCGTTGGACGCCTGCACGTGTGGTGTCTCTGCTGCGTCAATCACAGGCCCTAAACCCCAGCACATTCTCCACCCAGTCACCACAGTTCACTCAACCTGTTGTGTCTCCGTGAAAAAGAAAATCCTGCCAATCATGATGGGAGCACACCGGCTAGATCACGAACCATCTCAGTTTCAGACATCCAAACGTGAAGGGGAAAAAAGAATTCTTGGAATCAAAGAGATACAATCATCTTTCAGTTATCAAGACTAAAAACCGCAGCACCTACACGCAAGGCCAGTTAGACTTGAAGTCTACCTACGTGGGATTTCTTGGTCGGCTTTTTCTTTTGTGAATGTAAAAGTCACAGATGCGTGATGCTGAGAAGCTGGACAGGGCACGCGGACTGTAATTGACATTCCACGGCTATTAGTACTTTGAGGTATCTCCCAAGCGGGCTCCGTGTGCCTGCTTACAGAGAGGGGACCCCACCGCGGTCACGCCCCTGCCTCTGTCCTTTCTGCGGTCCATTTACACCATCCCCGTCGGTCCCCCTCATTAAACAGCCTCCACCAAGGGCAGTCACCGAGCCCTCTTCTCCAGCCACACACAGGGAGGGGACGGTCCCTCAGGAGACGGGGTCTGCGGCACCGAAAACCTCTCACAAACTCTGGGGTGGGTGAGGCCCCCGCTCTCTTAAGACCCTGTTGCCAAAGTATTTCTGGCAATGACCTTAGCCCAGTTAAAGGGGACGGTGTCTTATAATGAACCGATAATGCCACAAAAGCCCTTTCATCCTGAAAAAAAAAAAACACAATAGTCTCGAGTTACCCAGCCAGAGAGCCACGGCACATCGAGCTGACAGACTCCAGCACCCAGATTCCTGAGAAGCTTGCTTTCGACCCTTTTTTCTTTCTTCACTCTCTTACCAAAGGAGCAGGTGTGGAAATGAACTCCACTTACCAGGGCGCTCACTGCCTGCGGGACTCAAGGAAACCTGGCGCCTCACTCACCGGCCACGGCGCCCGAGGCTCTCGGGCTGGCCTTCTTCCCGCCTCGGATGCGGCACTCGTTGATGGCGTTCTCGATCTCCTGCAGCTTTCTCACCGCCTCGCTGTAGTCCTGCTTCCGTCTCTTCCTCACCGTCTTGCACAGGTCGGGCTCGTTGGCAAGCTTCTTCGCGGCTTCGACCAACTTTTGCTGTATCAGGAAGTTACTCTCCAGGCCTTGCAGCGCCGGGCCCTGGAGGCAGACGACAGCACTTTTATCTTTGCAGACACACACCCTCGCTCTCTCATGCTGGATAATAAAGAAGACTTCTTGTGCCTTCTTGAATCACGTGCTATCTGGGAGCAGGATCTTTTGAAGTTTTGATTCATTGACACCCTCGGATACCCCCCCACACACACACACACATCTTAACTTGAACTTCCCATCAGTCCAACCTCTTCCTGTTGGAAGGAGGGAGGCGAACTTTGAATATGCAAAGCCTCAGAGACAACAAATTTGGGTTTCATTCCTGGTGGTATGACCTGAATACTTCATTGTTTATTTTTTTGGTACCAGGGCTTGGACTCAGGGGTACACAACCACTGAGCCCCATCCCCAGCCCTGTTTTGCATTTTATTTAGAGACAGGGTCTCACCGAGTTCCTTAGCGCCTCGCCATTGCTGAAGCTGGCTTTGAACTCGCAATACTCCTGCCTCAGCCTCCCGAGCCGCTGGGATGACAGGTGTGCGCCACCGTGCCCAGCTTGAATACCTTAATGTGCTGAAGAGTAAATGACGTAATGTATGTGTACTGCTTAGCTCAGGGCTGGGTACACAGGGGAGCACTCATTCGATAGCAAAGCTCTCCCTGCTATTGACAGAAACAGCTACTGGTTTCTAAGGCGAAGATGGTTGAATTTCTACAAGAAACATGGGGAGGGACACATTGGTTGATGACCTGCACTCTGAATTAACTCGCACCATCTTTTAATTGCGCCGAGTGCCGTGCATGGGTCACCTCATTTATGATGCTCACTGCATCCCTCGGAGGGAAGAGCCACCGTTATTTCCATTTTTCAGAGGAAGAGACGGAGTCCCGAGAAGTGAGACTTTAGAGAGATCAGACTATGCGCCCAAGCTTCGTTTTAAGCAAAAGAATGAATCTTGATTCTTGTAAAACGATTTGTCAATTTAGTGCCCGTGGGATGCTAATGAGGGAGCGAGACACTGAGAAACAGCCCACTTTTAGCGGGAGTACGTGGAAATGCGCTGTCCACTTCCACAGCTGAGGTGGAAACGTGCAGCAGTGGCTCGTGGTGGACCCGCTGCCCTGGGCTCACCCCCAGAACCACAGAGAAACAAAACAGAAGGCGGGGAGCACCGGCCCCGGAACTCAGGAGCCACCCCGTGCCCCACTCCTGGCTGCGCCTACCTCCTCGCTGGGCAGCAGGCTGTCCTCCAGCTTGAAGGCAGTGCCCACACGCCTCCTGACCTGCGGAGGCTTCTCGCCTGCGTTCAGGGGATACTCCTTGGGCACTTTGCCCGTGAGCTCCTGCAAAACAGGACAGGGTCCAGAGCTGGCCAGGGGCATAGGCCCGAGCGCCCGCCCTAGCCACAGGCCCGGGGCAGGCGCACTCACGGCCTCGCGCAGACAGATCTTCCTCAGCTCCTCCACCTTCTTCAGGAGCTTCTCCTGCAGCTGCTTCTCCTTCCTCCTGAGCTCCAGGATCTTCTCGCGCTTCTGCTCCTCGCTGGCTTCCGAGTCTTGAGAACCTGGCGGAGGAGGCAGGGAGGTTGGCCCCAGGCACTGACCTCCCCAGGCTGAAGGGCAAAGGGCGGGGAGCCCGGCTGGCTACCAAGTGGGGGCTTGGGTCTTTCCTCCGAGTTCAGAACATGCAAAAGGCCAAGTGCAGGACGTGAGACCCGTCCTCTGGGTGTCAGAGCCTCGCGCACCGGCTCAGTCATTCCGGAGGCAAGGACAAAAGGCTTGTGTTTCAGACCCTCCCAGAACCCTCTCCTAAGAGGAGCGAAGGGAGGGCCTTCCCGCCGAGGGGCACTTCCGAAGCTCCTTTGGAAATGCTCTTTGCAAAGGAAGGCCGCTTTGGATTCAAAGCCCCGATGGGATTTTTGTGGGAAAATCATCATGCGCCCTCAGTGCTAGGAGATCCCAGACTGTCCACCCAGGGAGGGCCGAGGGGCAGCCATTACGATCTGCCTGGGATCAGGTTTGACAGCATTTTATATTAAAGAAGAATTAGTCAATGATCTCCAACGAAAACTAAATAATGGGAGACGGTGATGATGGAATTGATGGGAAGAAAGTCTCCTTTCAAGCCGCCCCTGGATAATCCCTTGCTTTGCAACTAATGTTACTTACACAGCCTATTTTTAATTTAGTTTTCATTATACTCTCCTAAATATCAGTTGTGAAATAACATTCAAAACTGTTACACATTGTAGGTTCTGATATACTTTGTTTCCAAAACAATGGATGGAAACATACATTTAAAAATGGTTTATAACACCCCTCCGCACCCCGCAAAAGAAGTTCTAAAAAATAAAAGATGGCGCTGGGTGTTTTCTGATCCCAAATCTTACCTGAGGATATTAGGCTGCCATTGCTGGCCATGATGAACTGACCCTTCGCCTCCAGGGTCACCAGTTTGGAGACCCTTTGTGTTCCAGTGTCTGTCAAATCCATTGCGATGTCGTCTAAACTCCTGGCTGTAGGAATTTTTGCCTACGAGGTAAACCACAAAAACACAGAATTAATGCCATCAAGCATATCTTAAATTAATAAAAATGATTAAGCAACCATACGATAACAATGTTTTAATGGATATACATGACGCTCAAGGCACTCTTTAGCACTGACTGAAAGACGTCACAAGCAACCTCACCAACACGCATACACACAGGCACGGGGGCCTGCGACCTCGTGACTTCCAAAGCACATATCCACATATCTAGGGGTGTGCGCATCTCCCACCCTTTAGAAAACGTGTGGAGAGCTAAAACAGGAGCGAGGTTAAGAGCCAGCCAGAAGAACACAGACCCGTGTGTGTGCACGTTTCCTGGGGCAGCTTCGTTTCTGAAACCCAGCAAGACAGATGGCCATGTCCCCCGAGAACTGCGCTCACCACTTACTTTGCTCTGCTTGCGGTCCAGGTAGAACTGGTGCTGACTGATGGCCATGACCCAGATGGACTTGATGAGAGAAGAGTTTGCATACCAGGTTTGCACAAAGAGGCCGCTCTGCCCAAAGGTCCTTCTAGACACCGAAATCCTGGAGGATTAAAGAAAGCACTCGAGCTATTTGCCTCTGGGCAGCACCACACCAAGGGCTCCCGGAACAAACGCCCTCCCCTGAGTTGCCCTGATGCACATCCGGACGATGGGGCCAAGCTTCTGACTTTCTCCTACGGCAAAACTACCCAGACCTGGGCAACATCTTTCTGCATAGACGAGCATATAAGACAACATGGTGCACACACTCAGAAGTGCATAAGGAATCAGCAGACGAGAAACCATAAAGATGTGTGGCCATCTCAAGTGGTACAGGGTAAAAATGATTTTTTTTTTAAAATAGTGTCTCACTGAGTTGCTGAGGCTGGTCTTGAACTTGCAATCCTCCTCCTTCGGCCTCAGGAATAGCTGGGATTGCAGGTGTACCAGCACCTTGTCTGGTTTTAAAGGTGGTGTTTCATTAAGGACATAGCAACCCACCCGTGTGGGGTCAGCACCTGTCTCCAGGTGGAGAGCCTCGGAGGAGGAGGTGGACTGATGTAACCTGAGGATGGACACCGTCCACTGAGGATCGGCAAGTCTGAGGCTGGTCCAGAGTGCTGTGGGCGCAGCGGAGGAAAAGAGGAAAGCAGGTGGGGAGGAGGCTGGCCAGCAGAGAGCAGGGGCTGCAAGGGAGGGAGAAGGACGGAAGGAGGCGGGCGGAGGCTGGGGGTGGGGGGGGCTGATGCTCTTTGTAGGAATGTGGTCACAGCCATTTCCTCCTATCCCTCTGACCCAAAACACCCATGAGTGTCATCTGGGGACTCCAAAGCCACCACTGAGGACTGACGATGAAGTTCTCTTGAAGCGTGGAGAACCTGCATCCTGACCCCCATTCACCTTCATAACTGCACAGTTGTTGTTTTTTTTTAAATGACCATAAATAGCAAAATTGAAAATGAGCCCAGGATTCCATCTCTAAAGCAGTTACACAGATCACCAATAAGCCCACAGAGACACGGACGGCCGTCATCAGTAGGAGTCAGGCTGTGCTCCTCCCCAGGACGTGCGGCACACACGCCCACGTGCACACACACAAGGAGACCTAACGGGGGGCTAGTGAGGACCCACACTGCAGTGGGGATGCTGGGTGGCCCGCGGCTCAGGGAGAGCCCCCTCCAAGGCCCACCACCAACAGTCCATGAAGGCTGGACTCACGCCCGCACCTGGGCCCAGATGGCCACCGGCCCCCATTTTGCTAGGTGACTAGGACCACGGGACTATCTCCTGGGCTCACCTTCGCGGGTCGTGGACCTCCACGGCAAACTTCTTCTCACGGAAATACAAGTTCTCCAGCTGTTTCCACTGGAACAACTGAAAGAGTTAAGAAAAGAGAAGAGCCACGCAGCTGCGGTCATCTTTCCTACGTCGCTGGGCAAGCGAACGATCTCACATTCCTATGAAGACTCACGGGTAAGGCTGGGCGGGTGATTCACCTTCTCACAAAGCACCTGAAACCATCGTGGTGGTAAAGGTCGCCCGTTCAGCCTCACCTCACGGGTAAGGGTGCCCTGAACCATAAAACCAGGCGGCTGGCGGCCGGCCGTGGGAAGCGCCTGGTGTCCTTCCTCTGACTCAGCTTCCTGCGCAGCTTCCAGTAAGCGCTAAGCCCCCTCCAGGGCTCATTTGTGTTTCAATGGAAAGACACTCACAGGCGGTTTCCGAGGGTAGACTTCAAGCTCAGGCAAAGTGAAAGTAAAAGAGAAGTCCCCGCGGCCAGCCTCTCACCTGGCCAGTCCCCCCAAGGCCACCAGGTGCGTGGGGCCCAGGGCAGGGTGGGGTGGGGTTGCCGGGCGCTGCCCCTGGTGCTGGCTGAGCCTCGGGTTGTGGGATTGGCCTCCCACCTCTGCTCTCCCACTCCTGGCGCTCTGGGGTTGGACTCCCGGATTTGCCCGTCATCAGGGCAAAGAAAACTCTTAACAGAAATTCGCACAGGAAAACCAAGTAACCTGGTCAGGGCAGAAGAGCCTGTCTCGCTGGGTTTTCTGGGCCGTTCCCAAGCCCTTCCATGGAGGTCCCGTACCAGCCTGCGCTTCCCCAGCCTCCCAGCTCGGACTCTAGTGTGTAATTCCTCCACCCGCCCCGGCCGGCTGTCCAGGAGGAGGGCAAGGGTAGCACTTGGACATTGTGCTCAAGACTCTTTAAAGAACATTCCAACTGACTCCTTGATAAGCACCCCCGTCGCGCACCGGCCGCAAAACCATTTCCTGAAGTAGAGACTTTTCACAAACACGCCAACCTTTCAGCAAAGGGGCAGAAGGAGCCGCAGGTGCCCCGCAGGGGCAGCATGGGGAGGGAAGGCCAGCTGGACCCCGGGAGCATGCCCACTCCCTCCAGCACTCACTAGGCTCCAGGGGAGTCCCGGAACGTGCAAAGCTACCTACCAGCTTCGACAACACCCCCAGGGCCCAGGCTTTCCTTTCTTTCCATCCAGAAGTCCAGAAAGTGGGAGAGAAGCGTGAGGGAGGACCAGCGTCCTCCCCTGGTCCCCTCCCGCCGGCGGCTCGGCGATTCTGAAGCCAGTTTCCTAAGACCCAAGGTGTAACTGGGTTTCACAAGGCGGGCCTCCCACGGCTCTGACGTGACATCAGCAGCTCTGCCGGGGACACTCCCCAGCCTGCAGTCCCCTCCTTCCTCCCACAGGGTGGACGGCAGGCAGGGTGCTCGCTGCAGATTCTCCCAGAAGACAGACTTCCCTAAATCTGGGCACCTTGGACACCGCCCGGGAAGCGCGTTGCTTTGGATCGGGTGGGAAGTGGACCGGGAGGCCTCCGGGCAGCCTCGGCCGTCGCTCACTGGGGCAGGAACAGGTTGGACAGGAAGGGGCAGAGCGGCCCAGCTGTGTTTTCCTCGGCCTCCATTCCCACACACAGGAAAGCCTGGGCTGCACTGGAAACCCGATCTCGGGAAGCCGCCACCTCCCCCCTCTTATCGCTTACAAAAGGGAAAGGCTGGCGGCTTTGCACTCCCTCCGCCCAGCCCGCCGAGGGGCCAGGGGTGAGGGGCCGGGCTTAGAGAGATGAAATAATTAGAGGGCAGTGGGGTTTGCAGAGGAAGCAGCGGGAAGAGACCGGTGGCGAGTCCCTGAGACCGCCAGGCACCTCCCCAGCGGGAACCTTTAAAGTTTATGCAGTGTGACTTCAGATGGGTGCCCGGTTCCTGCAGTGGTACCAGAGGACCGGAAGGACCCAGACCAAATTGCTAGCAGTGGCTGCCTCTGGGCAGGATGGTAGGGCCACCTCTATCTCATCATCTCTAGTCCTTGTCCTTTGTTAATAAAGATAAGAGGGAGGGAAAGTGACACGGTATCTCTGATTGTCCACTTGAGCGGTGGGTTCGGCAGGTCCTGGGGTCTTCTTGGCCTTCCTCTGTACTTATTTCTCCAAATTCAAATGATGGACGTCATGTAAAACGAACGTGAATATATAATACAGGGGTAAGCCCGGCTCCCTGACCACGGGGAGTCCCCCTGGACTTGACCACTGTGATTCTGATCAACCTTTGCCGTGGCAACGCTTTTTGATCTAGCTGGGCTGCTGCGTAGAAGCTGGTTCTGTTTGTTTTTCCTCTGAAATGTCTTGGTTCCTAAATATCAGAGGTTGCCATCCAACCTGGGCTGGGGAGGGGGAGGCGGAGTGTGAACTTCCGCAGCCTGTGGGACATTCCTTTCCCATCCACCAGTATTTTCTGAGGCCCCTCTGATGTGAGGTCCCGATCTGGAGCCTGAGGAGAAGAATCCCTTCCCTTGTGAGGAGAACCGTGCAGGTGGCCCAGGTGACCTCTGGCTCCACTACTTGTAGCTAGTGGGGCTAAACCGTCCGGAGCCTCAGCTTCCTCGTCTGTGTAATGGAGCCGGTGACACCTGAGACCCGGGAGCCAGCGCCTGCTCAGCACCCACAGCGGGCAGCTGGGTTGGTGGGGTGTTGACAGTGACTCTCCGTCCCCGGCTCTCTCCCCTTATCAGACCACGATGGCAGCTTAGGGGCAGAAGTGGAACCGGCAGCCCCTATCTGGCCCCCACATCTGTGTCTCCGCCAGGAACAGCTGAGTGGCTCTGTTGACAGAGCTGTGTCACTCAGGCCGCGACCCTGGCGGGTTTCAGTCTCCACATCTGATGGTTTCATGGGAGGCTTCCTGACCCACCCGGTAGGTAGGAAGTCTGCGCCAGGGCAGAGGGAGGAGCCCCAGCGTGAACACAACAGGGATGTGGACCTGCCCCAGGCAGGGGGTCACAGAGGCCCTGGAGAACGGAGGTGACTCTTTAATGCCCTGAGCAGGGACAGGGAAGGTGTCACAGAGGCTGGGCTTCTGAATTGCGGCCAACGTTCCAGGTTAATCATTTACCTGCAAATTCACCTGGAAATGGAGATTTGGGATGGTGGCACACAGCAGTGACAGTACATCAAACAATGAGTCACAGGGGCAATCCCCTGCTATGACCTGAAGCAAAACAAAGTCACGGAAAAAGGTGGCCCCTGATGAGGAAATGCACCGTGAGGACCTTCTCAGTGCCACAAAGGAGGACTCTGGCAGCACTCTGGCTGTCAGAGCCCCGCTGACCTAGCTTCCTTCCTACCCTCTGTCCGGTCCATCAGATGTGACGATGACCGTCCCGGCCTCCGCCCTCGAGGAGGGTACGGCAGGGAGTCAAACACGCAGGGCTCACACCAATGGTGCGTCTGACATGCACCTAGCGTGCAGGGGCCACCGCCACCGTGACCCACGCCTCATCCCGTCCAGGGTCCCCGGAGCACCGCCTCAGCCCCAGCTGCATGCCGATGAGTGGTTCTGGGCCATAGGAAATGTGCAGCCTAAGATCTGACTTCTGAAAGGAAGCTTCTCACCCAGGTTTCCTCTGCGGCCAAATCTCCCACTTCCAGGACGGCTGACCACTTCCTGTGGCCCCCTGCAGGTGTGAGCTGCTGGGGTTAGGGCTGGTGGCTGCTGTGGTGCTCACCGCCCACGTCCCTGCCCACGCCTTGCTGTGCAGCCTGTTTATTAAGTATCTTCAATGAGATTTCTGTTTCGGATGCATTCTTTCTTCCCAGATGAACTGTCAGGTCCTTGACCGCGAGGGCTGTGACTTTTTTGTCAGATGAGATAAGGAAAGGAAAGTGCTAGCGCAGGGGCCCGTGGAAAAGCAACGGGCTTCGTCAATGCTTTTCTTGGAAAAACACAAAATCGAGTCTCTTAAGCTCTATTGTTAGAAAGCTGTTTGTACTAGTAGATGAACTGGCTATCCTTAGCTGATCACAGGAAACCCTGCTATCAAACCAGACTGAGTCCCCAACCAGTGGGGCATGACGGCCACATGCCTGCAACCCCAGGGACTTGGGAGGCTGGAGCAGGAGGATTGAGAGTTAGAGGCCAAACTCGGCAACTTAGCAAGACCTTGTCTTGAAATAAAAAATAAAAACAGTTGGGGGTGTAGCTCAGTGGTGGAGCACCCTGGGTCCAATCCCTAGTATCAAAACCAAACCAAACCCCTCCTGGATCTCAGCAGGAGGACCCAGGAGACAAGCCCACACTGAGGGACAGCCTCTTGCCCCTAGAGCTCCAGCAGGGGGGCCCTCGAGGCTCTGTGAGGCCGACAGTAAACTCTTTGACTTTGACAGATGGGAAAATGAAGGCCCAGAGAGACCTAGTGACGGCCCGGGTCAGCCAGGTGGCCAGCAGGAGTGCAGAACAGGTTCTCTCTTCAGATCCGCTCAGGGCTGCAGTTCTCCTCCCACGGACTGTGCAGGGCTGAACCATCACGTTGATTATCGGGGTGGCTCAAGCTTAATTACACACCCGCAAACAGGACGGACTGGTCTCCCGGTGACATTTTGTAATCCATTTTTTTTCCCCTCCTGCATCATATTTTATTGTGCACTGATGTGGGAAGTGTGAAGAGGCTTCTGGTCGTCCGTGGGTGGTGGAAGGAGCGAGGAGAGGTTCAGACGGTCAAGATGGTAGGTCAAGGTGGCGCTGCTTGAAAAACGAGGCAAGTCCTGCCTTTCAGTAACAGGAGCCCCGTCCCTCCAAGCCAAGGGAACAGGGAGGCTTTTGTGCGTGCTCCTGAACTCACCTGGCTCCAGGCGGCAGGGAATTCCAGCAGTTTACAAAAAAGATCAGTTTATTGAAGGACAAGAACCTTTCCCACCGCAAAGGCCCTGGGCGCTGGGGCTCCTGCCAGCCTTACTGTTACCAGGCCAGGGGACATTGATCTGGAAAGACATGCATGCCAGCGTGGTCGGCCCGGGGCACTCCTACGTGCCACCTCATTCCCCTGCCCGTCTCCGACAGGCTCTGGTGGGCCCCGGTGACTGCTTGCCACAGGGGAAGAAGTCAGTCCTGGTTCTCAGCCACGACCTGCTGTCAGTCTGTTGCTTGGGGAAGATGAGACCTTCTTCCCTGAACCCCAAATAAATAATGAACACCTACAAGGAACACGAACTCGCATCTGTTCCGACCTGAGTTCTAGTACATTTCCACCTCCTACAAGAGTTTGTGGTGCTCATTTCAGGCACAAAGAGAGGATTAGAAAGTAAACTGTGTCTGATCCATCTGGATCTTTAATACTCAGGGTTGAGGTCTTCTCTCCACCTGCTGGGAGTGGGGGCCCGCACCTGTCATCCCAGTGACTCGGGAGGCCGAGGCAGGAGGACTGCAGGTTCTAGGACAGCCTCAGCAACTTAGCCAGACCCTGTCTCAAAATAAAAGATAGCAAGGGCTCGGGGTGCGGCACGGTGGTAGGGCACCCTGAAATCCATCCCTAGTACTAGAGAAAAGTCTTTCTCTTCGTGGGCCTCATACCTTCAGGCATTACGGTGAAAGAGTTGGGAGGAGAAGGGCTTATAGGGCCCTCAAAATATGGACTCCCTACCTCACTAGGACTGTGGACTCGGGTGATGCTGGGTGCCTCTGGAGCCAGTGATCCATCACGTCTCTCAAACCCTCCTTACTGTCTGCCCCCCTCCCTGCCAAGGAACTAATCACCTAGTGAGGACTGGGTACCAGTCCTGGTCGTAAATGTCCTCGTTTAGCTCTTACACACACTCTCCAGAGCTGGTGGCATCTCCACAGTGCAGAGGAAGGAGCCAGTGATAAAGAGAGACCAAACAACAACACGCCCCAGGCCATGGGGCAAAGCCACGCCAGAGACAGCGCATGGGTGTCCCGAGCTCCTGCCCTGCACAGATGAACTGCCCCCTCCGCGGGCTCCCCAGGCTGCAGAATACGTTTAGATCTAAAATGCATGCAGAGCCTTTGCCGGGTGCTCTGGTAAGTGGAACAAAAGCGTCCCCAGCGTGCAGGGTGACGAGAAGGTGACACTGCCCAGGAAGGCTCGTGGGCCCTGCTGGAGGATCTTGGATGGGCCCTTTTCAGACCAGCCCCTGCTGTCCCTGTCTCTGTTCTTGGTCCATCTCCTGATTTAAGCCACTGTCATAACAGGGCAGCATGTGGCTCAAGAGGCTGAGCCTCTGGACCTCCCACTATAGTGTGTCAATTTGACCTTGATTCCTGCCCAGCCACTGGCTGCACGGCCGGTGGGGCCAACAGCTGAGGCCCGCCCGGTCCTTCCTTTCTGTCCGCACTCACGGCCCTGCATGTGTTCCAGCCTTGTGCAAACTGGGCTGGAGAGGGCCCTGCGGAACCTGCTTCCTCCTGCTGAACCCTTGGGTGTTTGGGCACAGAAAACCCTAAGTGCACAGAGCCAAGACCCAGAGTCAGATTTTCACGGGAGAAGAAACAAGGAAGGTGGAGGGACAGCCTCTGAAATACGGGAAAAGACAAGCCGCCTGGCGCAGGGCCCTCCCTGAAGTGAGTGGCCCACGTGGACAACTGCAAATGGAAAGGGGAAGTGACCTCCAACCGTGACCTGGGCGGGACTGAACAGCCAACCTGACCGGGTGGTGTCCAGCGGTCTCCACGCAGCTCCGAAGGTGGAGAGCGTCCTGTGAGTCACAGGCACGGGAGTGGACGGCCCGAGAGACACTGGGCAGACTCTGCTCCATGACCCCTGGAGAGAGCCTGGCCACTGTTGGGGGCGCACTATCGCGTTCTGTGGGGATCTGGTATTACCCGGTCACGGTGGCTGAGAAATCACTTAGGAGTTAAGTCACCGTGGATACGCAAGACCTCTGAAGGGTCCTTCGTAAAGCACGATTCAGGAGAAAATTAAATTAGCCAAAAAAAAAAAAAAAAGGAGTTAACATGGTGAGTTGTGCCCAAAGAAAACCCGACAGGCTCTGCACGCCCTCCTGCCTCCCACCCCAGGGTGCACACCGTGCTGCCCATCCAAAGGGGAGTGGTCTCATAAATCATGTATGTCCACGTAAGGGAACACCAGGTGGCCTTCCAAAGACCAGGAAGAAAGTGGTCTGCAAGGGAGCTGGGGAAGACGGCCAGGCCTGGAAGGAGGGGCAGTGGGATTTCTCTCTTGGTAAAGACTCGGAATATTCACCAACCAGGTCTGAGTGAACCCGTGTCGTGTTCTCAGCAGCCATTTCCACGGAGGCAGGAGGGAGGCTGCAGAGAGGCTTCCTGCCCCAACAGACGGGCTTGGTGCTGTTTGCTTTTTTAAAAAAAAAAACAATAAAAACGTACGACTTGTTGTAAATTATAATCCATGAGAGTGATATGAAAATATCTGAGAAAATTGGGTGCCCTTCATTTCTTTTTCTATTTTGCTACCAGGGATGGAACCCAGGGGTGCTTAACCCCTGAGCCCCCTCCCCAGCCCTAGTTTGTATTTATTTAGAGACAGGGTCTCGCTGAGTTGCTTAGTGCCTCACTATGTTGCTGCTGAGGCTGGCTTTGAACTCGCGATCCTCCTGCCGCAGCCTCCCGAGCCGCTGGGATGACAGGTAGAGGCTTCTGGAGGGTGCCCTTCATTTCTAAGGCTATTACTTAGGAATTTGGAACCAGAAGTAGATCTTCAAACACAGACAGGGACAATATCACGCGATGTCCCCCGGAAACTACGAGCTCATTCCTTACGTCAAACAGATCGCGCTCACGGGGCTGCGGACACAGTGCCGAGTGCGGGGCAGCCTGCAGCTGTCCCCCGTCCCTCACGCAGGTGGGGTGGCTGGGGAATGAGGCCGCCTTGCTTTCCTGGGTAACTTCTGGCGAGCGGTCTCCATGGCCAGATGGTCTGGTCCAGGAAGGCATGGGAAGGGCCCATGGCAGCCTCAGGACACTCTTCTGTGCAATCCATGTGAGTGTCACAACATAAATGGGGACGAGGCAGGAGCTCGATTTGCATAACACAAGGAGACGGTGACCACTGACCTTGGCCACTCGGGAGCTGCAGGGCTGGGCCTGATTACAGGGCTGCTTGAGGAACACTCCCATGAGAGACAGACAGGTGTGACGGGAGTCACCGGAGGCCGTCATGTCGGGTGGCGATAACAGGCAGGTTGACCACGGTCTGTTATTAGATGTCACCGTGTCACTCCTGCAGCCTCCAGGGATGGCAGCAGGGCCCAGGGAGGGGTGGCAGACCAAGGAGGTCAGCATGGGTGGGTCTTAGGGTCACCATAACAACCAGGAGGCCATGGGCGGCTAAAGGGTGAACCACGCAGACTCGTCCACCCTTACACAGGCCAAAGTGGACGGCGGGCGTCTGCTCCGGTCAAGAGAAGCAGCTGCTCAATAAAGTCTGACGTGGAACACAGTGTCACTGACTCAGCTTCGGAAGCCCCAAAGCTGGCAGGCGATGAGCCTAAGAAACCGCACACGACCTACGTTTCTTTACAAAAAGCACTAGTGTTTCCTGCAGAGAACCCTGAAGTGAAGGTCAGTTAGCAACAGCGGCACCTTAGGAAGAAGATCACGCGTAACCGTACCACTGGGAAACAGCGAGAACCCAAGATTTTGGCTTCCGTCTTCATGATCCTGGGACAATCCAATGCAGATACGTGTGCATGCAGGTGTGTACACTCACACACATACACACACACACACAGGGTAGCACAAGGCAGCCTCCTGGTCACACTAACCCCAGCAGAAACCTCACTACGGCTGCCGTGGACTGAGCCGTGGCCCACATCCTCACCGCTCAATCCTGGGTCGTGACCTTGGAGTGGGTGGCCGGCGTGCGATGGTGTACAGGGTACGTCAGCGAGTTACGAGACGGATTTCACACTTAGCTTCAGCCTCCTCCCAACCAAGGTATCACTCAGTGGTCAGGCTGGCTACGCAGAATCCTGGCCTGAGACGCTGCAGGTGCCCCTTTACGGGGACACTGCCAGCTCAAGGGCTCCTAGTCCTCGTAGGCGCCTGGGAGACCCACACTCACCTTCCGAGGCTTCACCTTGTCCTGTAAGTCATACTGGCCGATGCCCTTGTAGCTGATGCCAAGCCACCAAGGAAGTCCCTGTTTATCCTGGGGACGGAGAAGAGGCCTCATTAGGTCTGGGAAAGGCGGGCCACCCTCTCCTGCCCTCAGCAAGTGTCCACTCGTCACAACAGCTTCCCTGCGGGGAACGCGTTACTCAAATGCTCTGAAGGGTCTCTCCAGCGAGATGTGTACATCCGTGAGGCCCAGACTGAGCTGTCAATACACAGTGACCTCCTGTCCGAGGGCCGGACAGCAGATGGGAGGTGAGGCCACTCCACCGAGATCGGGTCCCCTGCTCGGCCCTGAACTAGAACAAGAGGCCTCTGTTCTCAGCGAGCGGCCAGCTGTGAGGGCCGGGGAGCCCGCAGACCACAGGGTCGAGGCTCCAGACCCGGAGTGTGCACACACCCTCACGTGCAGCAACACAGGGAGGAGGGGACAACGTGCTTTGTTCACAAACGTGTGCTCTCGTTGCAACAGAGGGACAGGAATGCAGACACGGGGACAGACGCCCAGGCTCCCTGGTGCTATGCCAGCGGCTCAGCTCAGCAGAACTTGGAGGCAGAGGCTGGCTCTCAGCTAAGTGTGCAAGTGTCCGTCGCCTAATTCCCAACACCTTGAGGGGCAGAGGTGACAACTTGTCCCCACATCACGTCACTCCAAGCCTGTCCCTGGGTGGGGTGTAGTGGAGGAGCACTCGCCCAGTGGCCTGAGGCCCGGGGTTCTAGCACCACAAAATACACCCCAATAATCAACCAGTGACTCCTCTTTCTGCCCTGCCCCCCTTCTTGGGCACCCTCTGGCCCTTATCATCTTAGTTTTCACTTCGTTTTATCTCTTTGTGGTGCTGGGAGGGGAGGCCCCTGGCTCCTGCCCATCAGGCAGGCACTGTACCGCCGACCCCCCCCCCCCAGCACTTTTTATTTTTATTCTGAGGCTTGGTATCACTCAGCGGTCAGGCTGGCTTCAAACCTGCCATCCCCCTGCCTCAGCCTCTCCCGTAGCTGGGATTAATAGGCTGTGTCACCATGCCTGGCCTTAAAAACATTTCTTATTCGACTCCTCCCTGCTTATAGACATTGAAAATACTATATGAATACAAAACACGCTGATGGTATGCCAAAAATGGCCCCGGCTTCAATCCCCAAAATGAGAGAGGGAGGGAAAGAGAGAGAATAGGAAGACCTGAATATTTTCAGACTAAAAGAGGCCACAGGGAAGCAGCTGAATGTGGCAAATATTTTGCAAATAATGTGCTTTGTAAAGATGACAAGATAGAATCGGGCTTTGGAACGTTAAGAAAATCCATCCTGCGGTACACAGACACAATGGAATATTACTCAGCTATAAAGAAGAATGAAATTGTGGCATGTGTCAGTGAATGGATGGACCTGGAGACTACCCTGCTAAGTGCAATAAGCCAGTCCCCCAAAACCACAGGCTGAATGTTCTCTCTGATATGTGGATGCTGACGGGAAGGGATAGGGATGGGAATAGGAAAGACTGTGGCATGATCCGACGTGGCTTCCCTAGGTTCATGTATGAACACACACCCGGTGGGACTCCACATCATGTAGCACCCCGAAAATGGGAAGTCAGACTCCATGCACTCTAGTGTCCTGTGTAACTAAAAAGGACAAATAAAAAAATCCTGAAAAAAAAAGAGGAGGATCCATCCTATCTGAAACGCCGTGATTCCTAGAGACCGATTCACATATAAACGCACGCTGTACGTGACTTTGGAAAGAGGATGCTATTCTGTGACTCCTAAGATATCCCAGGCGTCCTGAAGGCCTTCTCACGGGGGAAGAGCTCACCTTTACTGCGTAGTAATGGACCCCGTAGGTGGGCAGGACCTCAACGATCTTCATGTACCTGTGGAGAATGAAGCTACGTCATAAAACAGTCACTGAGACCGTCAACCGGCCCCGTCGGGACAAGCGATTTCAGGAAACACGTTGGTCTTGACGTTCGTCATTTTAACCGCAACCAGGGTCTTCCACTGCAGTAGAGGCAGATCAGACCATCACGGGGGTGACATAGCTCACACCTTACCCACCGTTCCAGAGCGTCTCACGGAACTGCAAAACCACACGAGACGGTGTTTTACGAACTTTAAGACTCCTAGAAAGGCTGCACTACAGACTCAAAGACTTAAAGTTTGCTTTAAGGTAAGCTCCTGATGATTCTGGCAATAGGAGCCCACTTTGGGTCCCGCTGACGAGAAGTTCAACAATCAGCCATTTCACGTACTGACCATGGTCAAGGGAGCCCAGGCGGACACTCACTGTTACGGCTCTTAGCAATGAATTCTTTTAAAAGGGTGAATTTTATGGCTGTAAACCTGAGTTTGAAAAAATGCACACCCCTCCCCCCCAGATAGACACCACTACTTTCTACTTTTAATTCGAGAAGTGTTTCCTGTGCTCTTGGAAGGCTTTGCCGTGGACTGGACTGGGCAGGACTTTCCCTCCTCCTCCAGTGGGCTTCCACGGGACATTTGGAAGATCAACTGGTCTGCACACAGGGGGCAATAACTGGGTGATTTTTTTTGAGCAAATGGCTCATGTGTAAGTGCACATGGGAGGCTAAGGACACGTGTCAGGGTGGCCTACTGCACAAGCCAGGCTGGCAACCCAGTGAACTGCGCTCCAGGGCCAGAGTCCCCGGCAGGAGAAGCCCGTCTCGTCTGGAGCCCCTGGGTGTCGCGACGGAGGAGGGACAGGGCTCCTCGGTGAGCAGGGCTCCGCAACCTGCCCGTCCGCCTGACTAACATCCATCAGGGGTCCTGTCTGATTCCCTCCCTCCTTCCTCTTCCTGGCTCCCCAGGTCAGAAAGCAGGGTCAGAGGTCAAGGACTCAGGGTCAGGACTGCTGGTTCTCATTTCTGCCTCCAGGATAAGACCCAGATCAGGGCCAAGGAGCGGGAGGTGACGAGGGACCCGGCCTGGGAGATCCCCCTGCCCCTCGCTGCCCACTGGGCAGTGGCTGCCTTGATTTAAGTTCTACGGCCTTCAAAGTCATCCTCCGAGTCTTACGGCAGAAACGCACTTAAAAGTCACCGGGTGGGACAATCTCCTAAGCGTGTCGCATCAGGAGAACGAGGCTGATGGTCCAGGATGATCCTGTGGGTCCTGAATCGCAGGAATGACCACTCTGGACCGTCCAGCACCAACACGCTCTGGGCTCCCCCGGAAGCAGCGTCCCCAACCCAGTCTCCAGGGTCTCGTTGAAAGTGTCCGAGGGTCTGGCAGGGTTGAGCACGGCCGCGCAGTGACCTCGCCGTGCCCTCCCTTCACGATGTCCCCCTCTCCCCATCACCCTCTACCTGGCCACGCTTGTCCCTTTTGTCCCCTGCTGGACACTGTGGGCGCCTGAGCTGGTGACACTCTAGGATGCCTCCACCCCACGGAAAACTGCTTACCCCAAACGAGACCACAGAAACCGTGCCCAGTGACCACTGGGCAGGGCCACTTGACAGTGAGTCTGAGCAGAAGGAAAAGCAGCACTTACTGGACCACAGCCTGTCCCCGGGTCAGTCCTCTGACCTTCAGATAGTGCTCGATGGCCCGGTCCTCACTGCAAAACAGGAAGGAAGCGGCTCAACACATGGCCTCGCGGGCCCACCCCCCACCCCCCACCCCCAGGTTCACGGCCACTGGACGCTGGCTGGAAGGCCCTGGCCAGGCCTCGGGGCACCTGCTTCTAGAGGACATGGATCCCTGACAGTCAGACTGACTAGCACCGTCGCACACGGCATGAAGGATGATTCTTAAAATGCCACTGCTGAGGAAGGACACAGCCCGGTTCCTCCAGAGGGAAGTCAGGGTGACAGTGCACACGGAGGCCCCGGGGCAGGTGGAGAATCCTGCCCCGAGACTCGGAACCCAAGGCCTCCCTGCCTCTTCTTGGTTTGAAAAGGGAGGCCAGCAAGCTCTGGGTGTCAGAGAGTCTTCAACAGGAACAAAACTGCTCAGAGTCCGCGTGCGGTCTAGCCACCAGCCACTCACAGCCAGCGCCGTGCACCCGCTACGGCAGGATAAAGGCCTGCACGGCCCTCCTGGCCAGCAGCCGGGCCGCCCAGGAGGCTGCAGCAGCACCAGCCACCACGCCCCTCCTCCACCACATCGCCAGCACTACCTGGAAGACTCACTCCCACCCCTAGATGACCAACAATCAGCCTTTAGTTATTGATTTTTTTTTTAAAGAAAATATCATTTGATGATGATTTGTTCAGAAGGTTCCAAAGTCAACATGCAATGCAGCCTCAACCTTGCTATAAATTTGAGAAATATTCCAACTTTCAAATTGAGGCTATAAAGGTTGAATATTTTATTTTATTTGGCACTTGGCCACTGAGCCCCATGCCCAGCCCTATTCTGTATTTTATTTAGAGACAGGGCCTTGCTGTTGCTGAGGCTGGATTTGAACTCGCCATCCTCCTGCCTCAGCCTCCAGAGCTGCTGGGATTACAGGTGTGCACCACCGCACCGGGAGAGGTTGAAGATTTTATCATCTTTGCTTTCTCATGATTTAGAGGAAAGCAAAACCATCTTCAGCATTTCTAGGCAGAAGCCGTGGACACTCTGTTTAATGGACTCTGTGGTTTGGAAGAGAAAAATAATTTTCCAGGAAAACTGTGGGATGGAAAATGAGTACTAGGGATTCATTTAAAATACAAACCAACTACCAAGATGGCTAAAAACGTCTGATGCTGTCCAGCTGTAGAGAAGAGCACTGGCCGTCAGGGAGGCCTCTGGGCAGGGCAACCCGGGTTCTGGAATCCCTAACACTGACACTGCGCCCTGCCAGGCAGAGGCTGGGCCACGCGGAGGCCACACATACAGGGTGTGCGCTCCCCTGCACGTGCTCAGCACCCCACTCACCTTGAGGACACGCGCACAGCCCCCCTCTACCCACGGCTGCCCACACGTCTTGGGACAGTGGTCTCAGGGTCCTGGGCGAGGGCTCCTCCCCTCCAGGACCCGGCTCTGCCTACGGTCTGATGCGTTTGACGGACAGTTTGCTCTTTCTCTCACCCAAGTGCTAGTGAGCACAGGGTGCTGGCGGGGTTGGTAGCGGGTGGGGCGTCCGCCGCTCTGGCTCACCAGTAAGTGAGAGATGGGTGCTCCTGCAGAGTCCGGGTGGGAAAGGCTGCCAGGGTCTTCAGGTCCTTCCGGGCACTTTCATCACTAGAAAGAAACACAGTGTGGTGACGTCAGACACCGTACCTAAGAGGTCGTCCACGTGATCGGTACGCAGCGCTCTCCACACGCCCTTCACACCTCCCCACGTCCCTCGGCCTCCTCCTGCTCCTCTTCAGGGCTACGTCATATTCACCGCGCGGGAACACCCGTGACAGAACCACTTTTCACCATCCAGACAGACCTTTCTGGTACACCTCTGTTGGCTCCCTACCACCCTCGAGCTACAATGGACGGGTCAGCCATCTCTGGAAACTTTGTCTCTTGGAAATCTCTGGGAAGGAAACCCACAGTGTCCCTCGAGTTGCATCAAGTGAACTACAAATGTCCCCCATGCCAGGTGCTGCATTCACAGGAGGGCAGACCGTGAGCTGTCTAGACAGGGATGGTCTCTGTGGAGGTCGGCGAAGAGAGCGACTCTGGACGGGAGAAGAGACCCTCCCACAGCCTGAGCATTTCAGGGGCGTCCAAAAGGGAACAGGCGACTCTCCAAGGACAGAGTGGGTGAGCGGGTCCAAGGGCCAGGAGCCAACGGGCACACCCTCATTGTCCTCAGGAGGGCGGGTGGCGAGCTTTGTCAGGGAGAGGGCACCGCTGGCCCCCGTGCCTTCCTGGGACCACACCCAGCGTCTCCCTGGGTCTCACTGTGCGGGACCAGGAGGGGCCGGTCCGGTTGGCTCCGGCGGCATGCTACAGCTGGACCCCCAGACAGACAGACCCTGAATGGACGGTGGACATTCGACTGGGAAGGCGCACCCCTCACCACCCACAGCCCAGGACAGGCGCACTGCATCTCCATGAGGGGGTTTTACCCGCGCTCCCTGGGTGCCCAACAGGGTGAACCGCACATGGAGGACCAAACACTGAACCCGGGCAAAGGAGCTGCCAGCACCTGCGTCCACGCAGCCCCCAGACCCACGGCGGCCTGGGATCAAGCACCCAGGCAGGCTCTGTCGGGCCGGCAGGCTGCCAGGCTGGGCACCGGCAGCCCCTCTGGGGCGTGAGGGATTGGGTCACGTGGTCCTCCTCCAAAGCCACAGGAGGGCTCCGCAGGCAGCAGAGTGGACCCTCTGGGCAGACCCCTTCGCTGCCCGCCTTCCGTGAGGACAGAGCAGAGCCTCCGCCAACTCCCTGTGAGACACTGTGACCTACACCTTTCAACGCTGCGCTTCAAAACCAGGGTCCGGGCCCTTCCTGGAGGCCAAGTCGGCTTTCTGAGTTACTACAGGAAGCAGAGTCGCTGGGCCCCGCTCTTACATAAGAATAAGTCTCCTGTTCTTTTGAAATCTGAGCAGCTCGGCTTAATCACACTGACAACCTTGGGAAACTGGTTTGGGCTTCCGGAAAATCAAAATATACTACAATCCAATTTATTCATATTAAAGGTCAGCTGTCAACTCCCAGGATTAATATTTATTTTTCTTAATAATATCTTTTATGTTCTGACCTTGAAGACCATTCTCTCTCTCTCTCTCTCTCTCTCTCTCGAAGTGCTAGAGATTGAACCCAGGGCCCTGTGCATGCTGGACAGAGCCACATCCTCTGTCCCACTTGGCACTGGGCATGGTGGTGTGCACATGTAATCCTAGCTACTCAGGAGGCGGAGGCAGGAGGATTGCAAGTCGGAGGCCAGCCTGTGCAATTTAGTGAGATTCTGTCCAAAATAAAAATTTTGAAAAAAGGGGGGAGGACTTGGGCATATATGGCTCAGTATTAGAACACCCCTGGGTTCAATCCTTCGTATCCCCCCCAAAAAAAGAAGACAGTCATGATCTAACCATAGTGCACTCCTGCAGTGGAATAGCATGCACCAAAGAAAAAGACCACAGCCACACACAACATGGGTGGATCTCACAGACACCCAAAGACCCTAGAGACCCTGCGTAGGGAATGTATGACTTCATGGACATGAAGGGCCAAATGGGTAAAATGGAATAGACAGAATCTTACATAGGTGTCCACAAAGCAGGAGAAGAAAATGGGTGCCGTAGCCAGAGCCCCTCTAGGGGGGAGCTTTGTTGACCTGGGGGGGTGCTGGGGGGAGGTGCTCAGCAGGCTGTGAGTCCCCTCAAGGTCACGCCTCAGGCATGGGGCTGTGGGCAGTGCCCTCTCACCCACGTGTGTTTTGTGCATTCCTGTGTGTGATAATGCACAACAAATCTAAATCAAACACAGCCCCTGTGGGGACGTGGGGGCCGAAGAGTGACCGATGGCCCTTCAGAGGAGGGCGGTGTCGCTATCCAAGGGAGAGAACTTACTGCCCGAGACAGGAACCACGGGGTGCTGGGCTTGCTGGGCCTCGTGCTAGGGAGGGTTAACTGACCTTTGGCATTTAGGGCCCACCGGGACTTCACGTTTGAGTGGACAGACGGGAGCTGAGGGCTTATTTGTTCACCCTCCTGGGAGCCTGCCTGGGAGTCTGAGCCCCTGCGTCCCAGCCTGCGGGGGCAGCTGGGTCTGGCTGCAGCAGGAGGCCCCTCCCTGGCTGGCTGGCTGGGCAGAGTGGCTCCTATAAATCAGGATCACCCCAAAGCAGCTGGGGAGGCAAGTCGGCCCCGCCGGGACGTCTCTGCCTTACACGGGCAGTAAACCTCGGCCCGTCTGGACGTTCCTGACCTTAATGGCAAGCTCATGTTGTTTTAAAGACGCGCTTGACCAGAAGGGTCTTGAGGGACGGGTCTCTCCAGGTCCTCACTGGAGACAGTGCCCATAAATCGACACCATTTGCCACTTCTCAGGGACCAAACCAGCCACCGCTTTCTCTATCATCTCAGCAGAACCTGAGATCCCCGGGAGAGACCTGATCTGATCACCCAGGCTGGCAATCCCTAGGCACACCTGGGATTGCCGGACTCCTGCTTCCAAGGCTTTCCAGAAGGACGCCACCCGGACCCTCTGCTCGGCACGGCCAGCAACTGTTCTCAGGGGGTGGTTCCTGGGGGCCTTCCGAGCCCACCCTTCCACGGGCTGTTGCTTTTCTTGACTGACCTCAAAAGCCCCGCTGGAATGTACCCACCCCAGTCATTTATGAGAAAGCCTCACGGCTGGCGAAACCAAGGCCACCCTTGTGTGGGGGGCACGTGTGGAAAGAGCCGCCCGCGGCACATGTGTGCGCCTGTTGGGCTCCCCCACAGCAGCCGCCACCGGCCACCTGCCAACAGGGCGGAGGGCAATTAGCAAGCCGAGCCTGCTGAGGCTTCCCAGGGAGAGCAGACGCTGTGTCCATGCCTGGGCTGGGGCATCTCTCAGTTTCTAGAACCGTGGACGGAAAACACAGCACAACAAAAAGCCCAGGCCCCGCACTTCACCTCCCTTACCAATGCCCTCGCTCTTCCTCCCCGAAACCCAAGCGAAGGTGCACAAGGAGCCACGTCCACTCCACTGACCACGTGGAGACCTCTGCAGGAACCTCTCGCCACAGAGACATCAGCCACACCCCCAAACGTCAGCGTGGACTCGAGTTCTGCCTGCACCTCCACACGAGCACCGTCCACTCCTTATTTCAGAAAGATGTGGATGTGGACGTCCAGAAGCTGCGGTCAGGGCCTGTGGAGCACTGAGATGAGGACGTGGTCCTGTCAAGGAGTGTCAAGGTCCCAGCCAGCCTGGAGGTGATCAGAAAGCAGCTGCGGGGCTGCACAGGAGCCCCTGGGCAGGTCAGCCCTCGGGGGACTTGCAGACCACAGAGTTACTGTTCTTAGAGAGCAGAGCTGACCCCACACGGCCAGCGTCCCCCTGCCCTGTGCAGGCTGCAGGAGGCAGCTCCACCTCCAAGGACCGTGCTGACCTGTCCAGGGTTTCCACCACCATGAAGGAGTGGACAGGGCTGAGGACCCCGACAGCCAGGGAATCATATTTAATGTCAGGTGAACAGGGATGAGAAGTGCCGCCTTCTAAGCCGTGTGAGCCGGACCCTGTATTTAAGGGTGACAACTGGGCTAAACGTGCAATTATTAAAAGGATCTCGGTTACTATTAGAAACACCAATGTCACTGACCAAAGCCCTGCAGTCTCTGACCGCCGATGGTTCACCTTATGTTGGCTCAACTTGCATTTTTTAAAAGTCTTTGGCACCAGGGATCTAACCCAGGGGTGCTGTGTCACTGAGCTATATCCCCTTTTTATTTTTTATTTGCAGAAAGTCTTGCAGAGGCTGGCATTGACCTTGAGATCCTCCTGCCTCAGCCTCCCAGGTGTGGGCCACCACACCTGGTGACTTAACAGCTCTTCAGGTTGATGTGGCATAAAGTGAGACCCATTCAGCAGAAACCCCACTGTGGGTTGTGCTCTTTTCCGGGGCTGGGGGGGGGGGCTGGGGGTGTGTCACCTGAGCCCCTCGCAGTGGGCCAGCTGCTGAGCGGCAGGTTGGGCAGGCGAGCTGGATTCACGCAGTTTGACTTACACTATGAACTGACAAGAGTTCATCAGGACGTGCCCACCCTCAGCCAGCTAGCACTGGGGAGAATGCACCAGAACCTCCAGACCCACTGAGTCAGGGTGCCGAGGGTGGGGCCCAGCAGCGTGTACTAACAAAGGTCTGGGAGCCACTGCCATCGGGTGCACGTGACACAAAACAGAATTCCAGGATGGAGCCGGGAAGCCACCATCAAACCCATCACTGAAGATGGAGAGTCGGTCAGGGAGGCTAAGCCGGCTCTTGGGGTGGGTGGGGAGCCAGATGTGGGTTTCAGGAGACCCTAGGTGACCAGAGCTCCTGCTCACAGGGGTTTCTAGGTGGCAGAGACTGGCCACGCCTCTCTGCACAGGGCCTTGGGCTTCTCACTGTCGGGATGTGAAAACAGCTTCCAGAGATGGAAGTCACTTAGACTCCGCCGTGAGGAAGAGGCAGCCGTGACTCTGAACCCTGCTATGACCACAGAGCCGCCCCCTCCTGGGTCCCACGAGAGGGGACAGAGCAAGACCCTCGGCTTTGCTGGAGGACTCAGAGGGTCCTGTTCTGCTGGCCTCTGACTAACTCCACGAGAATG